CCCATCCAACATGTTGGATGACTATTTTAATGTTCAAATCAACTGTTGTACTTGAAAAGAAACAACTATTAACTAGAGCTTTATAATATTACAGGGCTTTTTGACCAAATCTCTCAGAATCATCCCTCCAGCACAGCCATTGGGTCTGCAAGCTGCAGAGTCAGCTAGCAGACCCAGTGGCTGTGCCTACATGCAATAGATTTTTAAAATGGACCTTTGCCAAACTCTAGTTTAAAAACCTATTACTTGTAGGTATTAGGCCTGGGTAACAACGGAAAAATTTGTTTCTAAAATCGATTTGTTTTTTGGGGGTTTTTGCGTTTCGTTATTTAAAATAATTACAAAATTTTCCTTTTGAAAAGTTCAATATTTACGAAATTTCGTAAATGGTAAAAAATTAACGAATCGATTTCCGAAACAATAACGAATCGATTCGTTAATGGCGGACGCGACCGCGAAATACGCTAAAAAACCTCCAAAACCTTCTGAAGCTTCCCTCTCCCTCTGTTGTTGACTGTTGGTGTGATATTATAATTTTTTTTCACTAATTAAACCATAAAACTGGCCCAGACATGCGGAAATAATAACGAAACGACCTCAAACAATAACGAAACGAATACAATATCGAAATACGAAGCATTTACAAAACGTTTTTGAAAATTCGTTTTTTTAATAATTGCTCCAGAATGGTTCGTTATCGTTTTGTAATTGAAAAAATTAACAAATTATTAACGAATTACGAATTAACGAAACGAAACTGCCCAGCCCTAGTAGGTATGGGTGTATGTGTGCATGTGGCAACTTCAAGTGAACCTGACTCATGTAGGTTTTCCCTTCATTATGTGATGTGAAGTCTCTTTTCCTTGCACAAGCTATTTCAAAATGTCTTCAACCAACATTTAAAAAGCTGTCTTTGGCCTTTTCATGTCTTTTCTTTCCCTCGTTGGGTTCTGATGCCACGGACTTTCCAGTTGTCTTGAAAAGTAGCTGTTCCTTTGTGCTGACTCAAAACCAATCTGTCAATGGTTCAGAAGCAGGTGGCAATGGAATAGCCAGCAGGACCATTCATTTGAAATCCCCTTTTATTCTGCTCTGTCCTTTATTGCAATGTTCCTTAAAATACACAGGGCTCCCTGGTGATACCTAACATTTTCACATTGAGGCCTTTTAGTGTTGCATCAGAATACAGTCACCCAATGTGGGAAATCAATTCATACATTTGAGAGTAAATTGTAGAGTTGTTTTGCACGCTTCCCCATCTGCCTCTTCATGTATCTCAACCTTTCCCACTGAACATCCTCCCCCCAAACAGTGTGGTCGTGTTTTTTGGCAATGATGCCATTTGTAAGTGAACAAATACAGAAGTCACTGAACTGAAGAATAAAAGAATAAAAAGTCTCACTCCCTACCTGAGGTCACTCAAATGAAAGGTGAATATTCAGAGTGGTGCCAGATGATGAGCAACTAAAACGACTGTGTAGTCTGAATGTGTGAATGTAGGAAAGGTTTTCTGAATACTTCAATTAGTGCTGTAACACAAGAAACCTGGAGTTCTAAAGGGCTACTGAGGATTCAAAGGCCAAGAGGCATGCAGATCCACCAAAAACTTGAATGATTGAGAAGATGCCTTAACATGGCATCATTATGAATATTTAGTTGCTGTGAGTTTTCCAGGCTGTATAGCCATTTTCCAGAAGCATTCTGGTGGTCCCTATGTAGATTTGTACACACCTGCACAGTATATGGTAGACTCCTGCAGAGGTAAGAGGATCCCTCTTGTCCTTTGCTGAACGAAGTGCTTGTGGGTCAAGTCTACATAGGGGCCATGAAGTGCAGCGCCCAAACATGAATCAAGGAACATGAAAGGCACAACAGAGTAATTCAAGCTGAGAAGCCATAACAGAACACCTGATGAACCAACCTGGACATAGCATATTATTTGAGAACACAGAAATGCTCGACCACTCTAACAACCACCATGTTGGATTATACAGAGAAGCCACTGAATCTACAATCACGCGGACAATTTTAACAGGAAGGAGAAAACCTCTAAAATCAGGACAGTAAATAAAGAACAACACTCAGAAAACAGGGGAATTCCAGACAGAAACCAATCAGGGCCAAGTACCACCTCCTAACAAAGGATTCCCCCAGGCAGTAAGCAGTCAGTCCTTGAATCTGCAAGACCATTCAGTGCTAATCAAGGTGGTTAATTGCTACATTAACACTTGCCTCAAGCAGATAAGAGTTCTTTCTCCCATCCTGGACTTTACACAGATATATAACTCCTGGACAGGGCCGGCCCTAGGTAATTTTCAATGGTAAGCAAACATTATTTTGGCGCCCCCTACCCCCAACCAATCACTGAAAAATAAAACGTAGAAGGTAGAGGTGAATAAAAGAGTTACCTTACAAACCAGAAATTTACTTACAACATTATGTTTATATAGTTACATTACACAAATTAACTTTTTTAAGAATGCAAATATTTTACTAAACTTAGCAACAATTTTAAGTTTTTGTTGTTATTTTTGGTCTACAAGTACTACACAAAGGTTTCCTGGTCATGCTGTCTCTTCAGAGAAGATTTTTCAGACTAGGGGTTTGCTAATAACAGAGAACTCAATCCCATGCTTGTTGGGTCTGTCAATCAGATTTGTTTTGGAGAACGCAGCCCCAGGAGAATAGACACCTCCTTTTTAAGAAAGTGAACTCTTGTCCTTCAAAAGTGCCATGCCAGCCTGGACCATTACAATGGGTGTGGCAACATAGTCAGCCTCTGGCCCCTTCACTTTAGTGGATACTTTAACATCCAGTTTCCTTAACACAAATAAACTTGAACACTTTTAAAATTAAAAAGAGATTTTTCTGGCTTTCAATTTTGAAAACTCGTGTACTATTATATCTGTTTCCATTTCATCCAACAAGCCATTTTCAATGGCCAAGGTTGCTAGTCCACTCAAGCGCTCTTGACTCAAAGTTGATCTTAAATACATTTTTATAAGTTTTCTAAGATCTACAGAGACACTCGCTGGAACACCTCAGCAAGCGAGAGTCCAAAAGTGGCAGGCTCAAACCCAGCACCTCAGCCCATGGCTGATACCAGATGAGAGACTCCCCCTGGGCACACAGAGGACTGGGCGACTTGGAAATGGAAAGGAATCACACAGGATCATATTTTTGCAGTCCATTAAGTGTGTTGATGACAAATCAGATAAAGGGAAATTAATATAAAGCAGTGTGTATAAAGGGACATTACATTTGGTAATCTAATGCAGGCTTTAAAAGGTTTTAAAGATCAAGTCAGGGTCTGCTGCAGTTTTTAGTTTTGGATATGTTTTTTATGGATTTTAACTGAATTTTTAAAATACCAATGATATTTAATTCCATTTTAATGTTTGCATATTTGTGGATTTTAGACTGTACTGAAATGTTTTTAATCTAAGCCAACTTGAGTCTTCTTGGGGAGAGAAAAAGCAGGGTATAAATAAACATAATAATGTGTTGTGGAAGGCTTTCATGGCCAGAATCACTGAGTTGCTGTGAGTTTTCTGGGCTGTATGGCCATGTTCCAGAAGCATTCTCTCCTGACATTTTCCCCACATCTATGGCAGGCAACCTCAGAGGAACAAAATCTGGCTACCAGTACCCTCTAAAATCAGAACAATAAATAAAGAGCAACACTAAAAAAGGGGGGAATTCCTGACATGAAGCAATCAGGGCCAGTTAACCGCTCCCAACAAAGGATTCCTGGGCAGCAACTAGCTCGGCTTCGAAGCTGCAAGGCCATTAAATACTCATCAAGATGACCAATTGCAACATTCACATTTACCTCAAGCAGACATGAGTTCTTTTTCCCACCCTGGACATTCCACAGATATACAAACCCCACTTGCCTAGTTACAAACAGACCTCACAGCCTCTTGAGGATGCCTGCCATAGATGTGGGTGAAACATCAGGTGAGAATGCTTCACCAAGCACCAAAGAGCATTCTGAACTCCACCAATAATGGAACTGAACCAAACTTGGCATACAGGACTTCCATGACTAACAGAAAATACTGGAGAGGGGGTTGGGAAAAATAGACCCTGACATTTGGGAATTGCAGTTTACCAAGCACCAAAGAACATTCTGAGCTCCACCAACAATAGAATTGAACCAAACTTGGCATATAGGACTTCCATTACCAAATACTAGAGAGGTTTGGGGGAGGCATGTACAAAAGATGACATTTGCAGTACCTTTTGAGGAGGCCTCCTTGCTGCCCTGAGAGGGGTCCAGGCTCAGCTGCAGGGAAGGGAAAGCGAAAGCGAAAGAGCCTGGCTGGCTGCCTCCTGGCAGCACGTGGAGGGAGGACTTCCCTCTCGCCTAGTGGGCGGGGCCTGCGCTTCTCCATTAGAAGGCTGTTGAGGGCGCATGGGGCCTGCAGGAGGAGGCGTGGCCTAAGGACAAAACAGCGCCCCCTGGCAAAAAAAGTATTCCGCGACCGCTTACTTCGAGTAATGGACGGGCCGGCCCTGTGCCTAGTTTTCAACAGACCTCACAACATCTGAAAATGCTTGCAGTAGATGCAGGTGAAACATCAGGAGGGAATGCTTCTGGAACATGGCTAGATAGGCCGGAAAACTCACAGCAATCTAGTGATTCCAACTATGAAAGCCTTCAACAACATATAGATATTTAATTTAACTAAATTCCATTTCTGTCTATAATTTGAGAAGGAGAAACTTTGTTTTTTTTTATTCATATCTTATTTACAAACCCTGAATGTGGCATCAACTTAATGAAAGGTTTATGAGCCTGCTGTAATGACTTCATTCCCTTAGAGCTATCTCATATTTCAGAGCCGGATAGGTTGCTTTGCAGGAAATTGCTCACTTTTTTCATTTCCTTGCTGGTTTTGCATTTACATTCTCTTAGCCTTTTGCCTGGAATTAAGTGCATTTTATGCTCCCAATATAGCATACTTTCTTTATCTCCTTTTGTTTTTACTCAACAGCCACCTCCTCAGATATATGATAAGCAGCTGGATGAAAGAGAACACACAATCGAAGAGTGGAAAGGTAATCTCGCTTTTGCAAAATGTAGGTCCTGATTTATAACATAAGGACTCTGGCCCTGTGTCTTGTCCTAGTCTTGTCCAAAGGCTGTGATTGGTGTGATGTTAGGGCACTTGCTCAAAATGATTCAGAAAGTCACCCAAATGTATTAAAATATACATAAATACTCTAGCCCACCCCACAGGTTCATCTCAAAATGATCACAGAAAATAGCATAATGTCATATGCTAATTCCACAGGGCAACATGGAGATCTTTGGGCTTGTGGTGGTGGGTTGCAACCCACAGAGAAGCTGGGTGGGTGGGGGGGGGCAGCTCCTATCTCCTATGTAGATGCCCACCCCTGCCTATATGCTTTGAGAATAGGGAACATGGTGTTATCTGTTGAGTTTTTCAGCCACAGTGTCCTCCAAACATTACTATTCTTCCACAATTTGAAACTGGTAGCATGAAACTCTTGTGTGAAGTCCTCCTCTCTCAAGACTTGAGGTGAACTTTATATATAGGCCTGCCTCATATTTCCTGGTCATTTTTTGATTTGGCAACTGAGCTGGGGGGGGGGGTGCACTCAAATGATACCGAGGACAAAAATCTTCTATCTCCTTTCCTCTCTTTGTGTTTTGTTATCAGTTTTCGCTAGCCATTGATACTATTTTGAAGCCCTGGGACCCCTAGTAGGTAGGTAATGAGGGAACTAAAGAATCTGGTGCACTTTTATAAATGAACTCTTTTGTCTCTTGCAGAATTAATCTACAAGGAAGTCATGAACTCTGAAGAAAAGACTAAAAATGGTGTAGTAAAAGGACAGCCTTCTCCCTCAGGTACTCAATCCCAGTGAATAACCGTACTGTGTCTGCTACAGGCTCAGTCTTCCAAAGATGGATTTGTCCCAATGTTTCTTAATCTACAGCTGGGTCAGCAACTGTGCATCAATTTGAGGCTAAGCATTTTTTTGATCTGCTTAATGTCATATGAACTCCAGCTTTGAGGTTTCAAAAATAGCAGCTTCTTAAACAGTATGCATTTATGTAAGGCTGAATATATATAGAGAGAGAGGGGGGGGGAGTAGGTAGCCAGTGTGCAGGGGCAGCTCAACCCATTACGCAAAGTAAGCATTTGCAGTATAGTTGATTTTGCCCAGGGGTGCTCTTGAGGCGCTCTTTGGGGAAAATAGACCTTGACATATGTGAGTTGTAGTTACTGGGATGTATAGTTCACCTACAATCAAAGAGCATTCTGAACTCCACCAATGATGGAATTGAACCAAATATGGCACACAGAACTCCCACGACGAACAGAAAATATATATCAGTGATTGGTGGGGGGGGGGGCAAAATACTGTTTGCTTACCATTGAAAATTCCTTGGGGCTGCCTCTGCCAGTGTGGCATAGTGGTTTTTGAGGCAAGGACATTCTGCCCCACCTCCCACATCCTCCAAACAAATTCTCCTGGGAAAATTCCCTGATAGGTGCACCTTAGGTTCACCTTAGAGCAGTGGTCCTCAACCTGGGGTCTCCAGATGTTTTTGGCCTACAACTCCCAGAAATCCCAGTCAGTTTACCAGCTGTTAGGATTTCTGGGAGTTGAAGGCCAAAAACATCTGGGGACCCCAGGTTGAGAACCACTGCCTTAGAGTTTATATAAATTAAAAAGGCAACAAAGGAACAACAAGGGGTGAATACGTTCAATTGAATTCAAAAGGATTTTCTTTGGGGTAAGATAGGTTCATCATAAGGTCTTTATTAGACAGACATAACTTCAACGCACACAACAAGATTTGCATACAATTAAAGTGCATTCAGAATTTTGTCTGAGTAAGTGAAAGCAGAGTGAAGAATGAACCGTGATAGCACAGTGACTGGAATGGAAGAGTGAAGCTAACAAAGTAAATTTATAGAACTCTGAGAGAGTTTTGGCAAACTGTGGAATCACTTGAAGTAAGCTTTGCAAATTGCAGCAATTCTAGCTGAGTTCAGAAAAACCTGGATTTGAACTCCTATCTCCTGCCTGGAGTCAAGCCATGAAGACTGGAGACTTGGGACCAGGATTGGACACTTTGCCAACCTTCTTGTGAATTACAGTTTGGAAGATACTACAGTTTTTAAGAAAGGCAGCAGATCCCATCTGATCATGGAAAACAAGGAGGGTCAGCTCTGGTTTGCACTTGGATTGGAGACTGCTAGCAAATACCAGGTGCTGTAGGCTATATTTCAGAGGAAGGGATGGGCAAAAGCATCTCCTTTCCTAAGAAACTACATCTGAATATTGCTTTCCTAAGAAAACCATATGAAATTTCTCGGCAGGCAAATTGAACGTACACACACATCTTGATTGCAGTTATAAAAGGAAAGCAGTTCAACCAGTTCTTGTACAATTGAAAATGAGAAGAAAAACAGAATGTGCAGATTTGATTTAAGAGCTTCCTGTGTCATTGCCTAGCACAACCTTTCCTGGAGATAGAGCAGATATCAACATAAATCATTGTTCAGAAGAAAATTTGTCATAAAGCACAGGCTGCATTAGGTGATTTGTGTTTAATGATAGCATGGTATACCTGTATGCAGAAATGATTTGCAAGGACTTAGCACTTTATCTCACACTTCCTCCCCCCGCCTCCCAATTTCTAAACACTTAGAATCCATTGAGGGTATGATTTATGATGGAGCTCTTCCCATGATGCAGGGGAATGTCCTGTCAGCTCCATCATGCTTTGTTAGGGAAACATCTGAAACAATCCAAAAAAACAGGGCGGAATGGGGAGACAATGGTCAGAAATAGTCTTCTGAACTCAGGAACCAATATATGACTAGAGTAAACACCCAAAATATGTGGTATAGGAGCTATCAAATTTGCCCAGGTTGGATCTCTTCTGTGACAAGGAATAAGGGACGTTCCTGTGGGCCTTCCAAGCATCGACATTTCTCTCCTGCTTCGTGGGCCTGGCATGGTAATTTTTTTGATTAATGAAATCATTCAAAATACCAAAATTTCAAAATACCTTTTGTTTATTATGTCTGTACTGCTGGCTTTTAAAATCTTGAATTTCTGCAATGGAGAGTACTGAAATTGGAGAAAAGTTGGTATCTCCAGAGTGCTGTCTCTTTCATTGTTCCTTCACACTGCTTTTTCCTGTCTCTTCCTCTTGTAAATGCAGACCAGGAAGGCAGAAACTGGTCGTCTTTTGCTGAGCTCTTTAAGCTTCACAAATAAGTTCCCGACATTGCAGTGTTTTTGTATGAGAAGTAGGGGGTGCAATTGAAAAATATACAGAAAGAGGGAGCAATGAGCTTTGGTAAAGTCTTCTGCCTCAAGAAAAGGGCACAATTGTAATGGGTTTTTTTTTTTTGGTTGTGTCAGGAGTGACTTGAGAAACTGCAAGTCGCTTCTGGTGTGAGAGAATTGGCCGTCTGCAAGGACGTTGCCCAAGGGACGCCCAGAAGATTTGATGTTTTTTTTTAATCATCCTTGTGGGAGGCTTCTCTCATGTCCCCGCATGAGGAGCTGGAGCTGATAGAGGGAGCTCATCCGCCTCTCCCCGGATTTGAACCTGCGACCTGTCGGTCTTCAGTCCTGCCGGCACAGGGGTTTAACCCACTACACCACCATGCTACGAACGCAGCACAAGAAACACTTCAAAGAAGCCTCCTGCTTTGCCCTCTTCACTCCTTTCCTCCGTCTCTCTCTTTCATTCAGAGATCTAAATTCCAAGAGGTTTCTCTCTGTTTAGCAGATTAAATCAGTGCTTCCCTTCTCCAGAGCAGCAGGATGGGAGGGACGGAAAAACCCTGGTGTCTCCAGAGTTTTTTCCCCCAAGGTTTCTTTTTTTTTTAAAAAAAAAATGGAATGGGCAGGAACTGCACTTGCTGGTATGATTAATCTGAAAATGGATTATTTCAGGAGAAAAGGCAAGAAAGAACAACATGTGATAAGGAATGACAAATGGAACTATATGCTTTGTAATGCTACAGGACTAAACACCATGATATTATGACCCTCCCCTCTACCCCCAAATGCGATAAGGTTCTTATTTATTTATTTATTTATTTTGTTTACTTTATTTATATACCGCTTTTCTCAGCCCTCAGGCGACTCAAAGCAGTGAACAACATCAATACAAAACATCACGAGACAAGTATAGGGCAATTAAAAACAATTGTAACATAAATCATGAAACATCCATATAACAATCATTAGCACCTCAACAGTAAAATCAGAATCCAGTCTCATCATCCATTATTCCGTATTCCTATGTTCAATTACACTATTTAATCAAATGCTTGTTCGAACAGCCAGGTCTTCACTTTCCTCCAAAACGCCAGCAGGGAGGGGGCCAATCTGATATCTGCAGGCAGGGCGTTCCACAGCCGAGGGACCACCACTGAGAAGGCCCTGTCTCTCGTCCCCACCAAGCGCACCTGTGATGCAGGTGGGACAGAGAGCAGGGCCTCCCCAGATGATCTTAGTGTCCTAGCCGGTTGATTCCTAATTAAGGAATCGATTTTTCACCCAATTTTGAACATCATTCTTGTTCATATATAGCTATTGCTCCCACAAGTGGGCTTTTATTTACTGAATTCGTGGAGTACAGAATATGCAACATACTCACACTTTTTGTTCAATTACCTGGGAGGTTTTGTCCTATAAAATATGTTGTGGTTATAAGGGATAGAACAAAAAACCTTTTAATGAAGCAGTCATTTTCCTTGCTGTCTTATATCACGGGGAAAGAAATGTTATCAAGTGAAAGCACAAAGACCAATAAAGTGTAGAAGGTAATGGCTGGTTAGGTGGGAAGATATTGTATTGTTTTTTCCATTATAACTAAAGAAAAGTATGAATGCAACATTTATATCCAATCTGCAGCAATCTATGGCTGTAGCATTCAGGGTAAAAATTAACATGAATAGCTATGGATACTCAAGTACAAGAAGATGTAAACTTTCATTGATTTCAATCTCATTTTCAAGGACAAATAACTTTATCAGTTTTCTCTCTGTTGTGACAAAGTCCTTTAAAGTGTACAGTTCTTAAGGCCTATAGTCAGTTTGGGACTAAACTTTGTGCAAGAAAGGGGGAAAATGAGTCATGATTTTTTTACATCAAATATTTTATGCACAGAAAAGTCTTTTTTGGTACAGAAAATAAGATTATGTGCAGAAAATTAACCTTTCTGTGGAGAAAGAATTGGCCAATGTTACCTAAGTTTCCGGCACTTTAGCATGGCCCTCCACTCTATATTTCTGACATTTTAACGCCAAATAACATTATTCTCCCAGCCCTGTCTTTTCGAATTTTGCACTTTCTCATAGCTCTGTCTAGGAATTTTGCAAAAACTCAGAGCCCTCTGAATTCTGCACTTTATTGCTCAGCACGGTACTGTTTTTGTGATCTTATTGTGATATGTTCTTATTTTGTTTTGTTTTGATTTATGGTTTTAACTTTGTGCTCCTTAGGCTTGTCCCTTTGTAAGATACCCCGAGTCCCCTAAGGGAGATGGAGGCAGGGTATAAAAATAAATTTATTTATTTATTTTGTTTATTTACTTTACTTCTATACCGCTGTTCTCAGCCCAGAGGCGACTCACAGCGGTTCACAACACACAAGAAACAGCAAAATTCAATGCACCAATATAAAAAACAGTTAACAACCTAATCTAATACACAATTAGTACACAATTACTATAATAATATAAAGTTATTATTATTATTATTATTATTATTATTATTATTATTATTAAAAATTACTGTTCAGCATGGTTGGATTTTATACAGAAAAATCTCAAACAGATCTTTCAACAGCTAGCTCAGTGATTTTCAACCTGTGGGCCCCAGGGGTTTTGGCCTTCAACTCCCAGAAATCCCAGATGGTTTACCAGCTGTTAGGATTTCTGGGAGTTGAAGAACAAAACATCTGGGGATCCACAGGTTGAGAACCACTGAGCTAGATGGAGAAGTGATGCAGTTTGACACCACTTCAACTGTTATGTGTCAATGCTATGGAAACATGGGAGTTGTTGTTTTGCAAGATTTTTATTCTTATTTGCCAAAGAGTGCTTGTGCTCACTAAACTACAGCTTCCAGGATTCCATAGCATTGAATACTGGTAGTTAAAGTAGTGTATAACTGCATTTATTCAACAGTGTAGGTCAGAGAATCATAGAGTTGGAAGAGACCATATGGTATATCCACTGTCCAGTCCCTTGTTTGACTGTGTGTGTATGTTTATATAACATTTTCCCCAGCATAATGATATGGGCCAGTTGTGGGTGGGATACATGAATGTATTCTTGAGCCCGGCTTTCAGGTTGAATCACGTGGGTGTTCATTTTCTTAGCACAGGTGCAGCAGTGAACAGCAGCGAAAGCCTCCCTCCATCCTCATCCGTCAATGACATTTCCTCCATGTCCACAGACCAGACCCTGGCATCGGACACTGACAGCAGTTTGGAAGCTTCTGCAGGACCCCTCGGTTGTTGCAGGTGACTAGCCGCCTGCCTGCGAAACCCGACGTTCTTCAGAAGATAATGTAATTTAGTGGGGGGGAAATCATTGTGGTTATAAAAGCATTCAATGATGGCAAGGAAGAGTTACAATTTAGAACACAAAGAGAAAATTTTAAACAAACACTCACAGAGAGACACGTAACAATTAAACAAGAAAAAACCCTTTCAGCCTGCCTTCTAAAAGAGTTATGTAAATGCAGCTAAGCTCAAATGTATATTTAACTTATAGTTGCTCTGCTTTGGTCTTCTTCCAACGATGCTTACTGCAAAATGGGAAAAAAAAAGAGAAAAAAAGAGGAAAATTGTGTAAAAGAAGCCTTTTTTCATACAATTGCAAATTTTAATGGCTGCAAAACCAGCAACTTGCAACTGTCCTTTTTCACATTGGCATGACAAGGTGGGCAGTCCCCCTCCCTTTAGTTGTATACATGTGAGCCTATCTAACCACTCTCTGTTTCTGTTTTGGGCAGTTGAACAGAGAAATGCGCACATGTATCTTGGTGTACAAATGTGCACATCTGCATTCCATGGAACTATGTTTGTAGTTCTGTGTGTGCATATATCTAAAGATCAGGCATGTACACAACTGACTGCAGTAAAGAACATAACCTTCCGTGTTTCTTTTTCTTTTATGTACAGATTTCAACTTTGGAGTGTACAGTCTATTTTCTTGGTCCTTGGGTTGTTTCAGATTATTTTAACTCCACAGTCCTGTAGCCTCACTGAACTCAATTGGACTTAACTTCTGAGCAGATAGGTAAACAGAATCAAATTGAAACTCAGAATCTGAAATCTTATATTTTTAGTAGTAGTCTGTTGGAAGGAAGACTATAGACAGGAGCTTAGTCAGAGTTCTCTAAATGGGATGAATTTGGATTTGTTTTGTTTTGTTCGAATGAGTGGAAACAGAAAAGTATAAGGAGCTAACCAGAACTATCAAGAGGGCAGCCAGTTGCTAACATTATTTGTTTGTGGGTCTCTTGGTAGGCCAGTGAGGGAAACATGATGTTGTCAAGAGGAAAATTTGGTCTAATCCAGCAGGAACTAGCTGATATTCCTAAATTAAGGGGACATTTGTGCAGATGGTGTTTCTTAACTGTTTGAGGGTAACCCCATTTTGTTATTATATAAAGACTTTCAGAAATTGACCATAAACAAGAACCGGCATTGAAAAATTTGATGTCAGTCCTACTCAAAGTTGGGCTATGCTTCCAAGGTAATTTTGATAGCCTAAATGAAAGACAAACAACTTGTAAATGCTCCTCCTTTTTCCTCAGTTCTGAAGGTCTACTTGACTCCTTCTATCCTTCTTGAATGCATGGCTATGAGATGACATGAGGGACTACCAACCACTTGGATCTAATGAGAATAGTATAATAGCACAGAAAGGATATAAGACAAATGGATTTCTTTCCCCAGTGTTGAATAGCTTCTTTAGTTCAAATAAAGGACTACCAGATATCATGGGCTAAAAGTTTTTAAAGAAAGAGAAATACAAAATATTTCACAGTTGTTAAAGTTATTTGTTGGCACATAGCATTCTCATTATAACCACATTTCTGTGACTATTGAGTGTTCCTATTTAAGTACAAGGTGAGGAAGTCAATACAGGTTGAGTATATCTTATCTGAAATGCATGGGGTTTTGGATTTCAGATTTTTTTTATTTTGGAGTACCCGTTATTGCATACATGAACATAATGAGATATTGTGGAGATGGAACCTAAATCTAAACATGAAAATTGTGTATGTTTCAATACCTTATATACATAGCCTGAAGGGAATTTCATACATGTTATTTTGAATCTTTTGCATGAAACAAAACTAAGGTACATTGAATTGCCAGGAAACAATATGTCACTATATCAGCCACCCATTCAGATTTTTGGAGTGATTTGGATTTTGGTGGCACAGTGGGTTAAAGCGCTGAGCTGCTGAACTTGCTGACCGAAAGGTCGCAGGTTCAAATCCGGGGAGCGGTGTGAGCTCCTGCTATTAACTCCAGCTTCTGCCAACATAGCAGTTCGAAAACATGCAAATTTGAGTAGATCAATAGGTACCACTCCATGCAGTCATTCCGGCCATGTGACCTTGGAGACATCTACGGACAGCGCTGGCTCTTCAGCTTAGAAATGGATATGAGCACCAATCCCCAGAGTCGGACACGACTGGACTTAATGTCAGGGGAAAACCTTTTACTTGGATTTCAGAAGCCCACATAAAGGATACTCAACATGTATTAACTGTAGATTTCATCCATATCTAGATTTCATCCATATCTATCTATTTAGTGTAACAAACTATGAAGGGCTAGAATACCACCAGTGAAGGTACTTGAGGCTATGACAGACAATTACTGTCTTTATCAAGAGCAATGAAATGTCTAGCTGCTTTCATTTTCACCATTTTTCTCAATTGTACCTCTTCATTGGGACAAATAATCTGAAGTTCTCCCAGGTTTCAGAATGATAGCAAAAAGGAGTTCTGCATGCATAGAGCAAACTAGATGTATACATTACCATCTGGTTCTTCAATGCCATTGACACATTTAGCATGCAGTGTTGTATAACTTTATTTCTTTAGGCACCAAAAAAGGTTAACATTGGATAGCCCCATTGTGACAGGTACTGGTATGCATTTCAAACCATTCAAAGAAAATCCATCTCAGCTGAGGTCACTGGCAGTAGTAGCAAGTGTGTTTTGGAGTAAGAAGGAAGAACATAAGCCATTTCCCTCTGTTACTGCACTCTTTAGACACTTTTTCCTACTATTACTCTGCTAGGCCTTGTGATATGCTGGACACATTGTACTAAATCTAGCCATGCACTCAATAGTCCATTACCACACAAACATCTAGAAGCATGAGTGCATTGCATGCCAATTTTTTTTTAAAAAAAAATCAGGGATTTCATGAACTTCCCGAAACTAAATTATTTTCCTGGAGACTAATACCACATTCAAATGGCAGGCAATGTTAAAATAATACTAAAAATGCGTTTCTTTGGTCAAACAAGACTACTCTTTCTTCCAAAACTATTCATAATAAGACTGAATTGTGTGGATTTTAATATAATATACAAGTGCTAACAATATTCCACAAAAGCCATTACATGCACACATACTATATAAAATATATTCTCATCAACCCAATATTAAAAAGTATGCTTATACTTATTTTCCATCATGTATTGCTCTAAACTTTATGTAATTCCTTAGTGAAGGATAGCCATTCACAAATCTAGAAAATAATTTTTGATCACATGACTTTAATTTCATTTGCTAAATAAGGAAATGGAGAAGGTCGATTTTTCTTTGAAAAAAATCAGAACCTTTTTGTTATAGAAGTATGTATAAAAGCAATAAGCAATATGTTACTACTGGGAAAATACGATAAAATAGCAATATAAGGGGTGATTGACACTGCTATTTGAATGGTTGATTTACATGAACTGCATGCAACATCCATTGAAATGGAAGCCACAAAGCAATGGTGCTTGACATATGGCCCTGTATTCTTTCCAAAAGCCATGAAATGACATTACCTGCGTGTGACACATCCCAGTGAAATCCCAGCATACTAGAAATGACAGTACTTAGAAAGGATGCAGAAGTGCAGGGGGAGGCCACAAAGGCAATAAGCGAGAAATTATTTCCTAAGCAATAATGGCATCTGTATATTTTAGCTGTGTATATCCCTCTCCAATATCAGGGGATATTAAAAACCTCTACTAACTATCCACCATTTTGGTGCTGGTATTGCAGTTGACTGGGAGCCACTTGGAACGGAACATCATCAGAACATGTATCTGTTAATTCCCATCAGAAGCTATAATCATAATATTCGAATAATCCAGGTTTGTGCAAGATAGCCAATTACTCAGGACAATGAAATGCCAAGCATCCTTTGAAGAGTTGTTGAAATCTCTCTCCAGAATGGGTAACTAGGCAACAGAATGGCAGATAAGATTCAACCTAAGTGAAAAATAATGTATGTTGGATCCAGATGAAAACAAATACAGGACCATTGGCATCTATTCAGCAAAGATACTCTTGTGAACATCAGAGGACACTTCCTCTACTATAACAGTGAAAAAGGCAATTGGTATTATTAGAAAATGGATTAGCAACAAACTAGCTTTTATTATCAAGCTGATATATAAATCTGCCCTCACTTGTGAGGCTGATGCCATGGACACCTTGGAAAACAAGGATATCATCAAAATTGAGAAAGAGATGGGAGGATATGAAATAAGGCCAGAGGACTGACCTTTTCTTGTCTTTTGAAACTCTGTGTCAAATGTTCAGCGGCTAAACTTCGAAAGAGAAAGATAATTAGTGTGGGCTTCTTAGAGGTGTATAAAGCCATTAATATTTCTGAGAAAGTGAATAAAAGAACATTAATGTTGAAGACCAACCAGTAAAAGCAATTAGCACTGATTTCAAGCAAGAGAAGATGGAAGTATTTCACCATGCAATGTTCATTAGCATGGAAATGATTGCTACAGGGTGGCTTTTGAAAGGTCTTAAAGACAATTCAGGAAGATAGTCCATAAATGGCCATCCATTTCATTCTGCCTTACATAGGACAGAAGAACAGAGCAAAAGGCAATGGCCATTATGTGAAGAGAGCCAAAAGCTATGCAGTCTCATCAATATGTGTGCCTGAATAATCAAAGTGGAGCAAAGTCATTTTCTATTTGCTTTGCAGCAGGGATAGGCAACCTGAGCCTCTTCAGATGTTGAATTGTAGCTTCCATCAACATTCACCATTGGTTATTCCAATTTGATCCAATAAGGATTTCAGAGCAACAACATCTGCATGGCTTGGCTCACTTCTGCCCCAGATGGCATGAACCAATAGATTCAAATGCAAAAAAAAAAAAAAGGACTTAGGATAAATATTAAGAACTTCCTGTTAGTACAAGTTGTTGTGTGTTGACTACAAAAATGGCAGACTCTACTGAAAAATCACAAATGAATTTTCGATTAAAAATGGGACAACACTCATCAGCACTAAAGTTTCCTATACCACTGACATGTCAACCACAAATGGAAATACTAAGGTTATATATAAAAATCAGTATTAAAATGGCTGTTGTGGTATACATTTTCTACATTTCAGTTTCACATGGAAAGTCAAGATCTGTTTCTGCAAAGAAGTGGCAACTCCGGATGATAGCCTGAACCTTGCTGCAGTTGTTCATCAAAATGGGGATTGCTCCCAGAACACAGGGGTGGATATGAGTGTCATAATAGCAACATAGAACATTCTAGAGACAGGCAACATATCCAACTCCAAAGAAATATTTTTAGGCTCACGGAAATTCTTTTTCAAAGCTTTCCTAAATATTCTTAGGGCCTTTAACTTTTCCCTCAATAAGATACCTCCAAACTCACCTTCAGTCTGAGATGGAATTTCATGACTACTGTATTTATGGTTGTGCAGATCCACCTTGTTCTTTGATGTGGATTATATTAACATTTTGTAAATGCCAGATATTAGAATCAGATTCTGTGACTACAAATGAGTTAATGGAAGTGGACTTCCCCATCCCCTCCTTCTACAGTGGCCCCACAATCCCTTCAAACCGTTACACAGAAGGCCAAGAGACCACGCTGGATGGAATGAGCTGTGGGCATGGGGACTTTCTGCTAAGAGAAGAGAAGTCCTGGATCCAGCCCAATAAGTCTGTGGCTACTCTGCTCAAAGAGCTATTACTATGATATGGCTTCTAGGCAGCATCTTTTATATGACCTGGACAATCCAACAGATCCAACAGTGGAACGTTTGTAGACCCATGAAAGGAAGGATGCTGTATTACCCTTCCCTGTTAACCTCATCCACTCACTCAATTATTCACTGACATGAGTGTCTTGTCCTAGAGCAGCCACTCCCAATCCTTTTCAAGTTGTGAACCCATTTTATAGAGGCAACTTCACAACCAGCTAACTCGATAAACTAAAAACATGATTTTGTTTTCCCTTTTAAAAATTTTCCTAGCTCACCACTGCCCCATAACCCCAAAGAAAACCCTTCAAACCCATGGACAGGGAATCGCTGTCCTAGAGGTATTTCATTTGTATGCCTTCTCTAGTTTGGTCCAAAAAGCTTATTTGAGTGTGTCCTTTCAGAACAAAATTTGGAACTCGTACTGAAGTTAGAAGGATCTATGTCATTGTCTTCACTTCATATGACAACGAAAAAAGCAAATAGGAAGTTAATTAACTTATTTGAGATGGCATGTTGGAGAAGAGTTATTCAAATAGCATGAATGTCAAATATGATGGACTGCTAATGGTGACTAAAAATAAGCTATCATAGTTTGGCCATATCATGAGACTTGGTAATGACAGGATGACCTGGAGGCTAGGCATTCATAAATTTGCTATAAGTCAAAGTGACTTGTAAGTAGGTAACAAACATTGAACACCACCTGTCAATACCCAATTCTGTCACTAGGATCTCCTGTTGCAAAAAGTGTATAAAATGAAACAATATTTATAGATTTAAACATATCAAATTAGATTATTTATTGCGTTTAAAACGTGAACCTGCTTTCACTCTTCTCTCAAATGAACTCAAACCAACCACATATGAAACCATTAAGACAGGCTGTCATTCTAGCCCTAGTCTAACTCCTGTCTAGCTGAATTCCAAATTAGCATTCACCAACTAGAAGTAAAACTAACAGTGATCCAATAATTTGAAACATTAAGGATAGTTTTATGACCAAGAATCCCCTTATAGTCACAAATGTTATCATTTTTGCCAACATTTCCAATGCCACATAGAGGCCAGAGTAGCAGAGTTATAAAAGCACAAATGTGAATTTTAAATTGCATAGATAGGTAGGCACTGCAAAAAGTATTTTTGTGTGTATGGAAATAACTTTGTTATTTGAAGTAAGGGTTTATTCCTTCCCTCCCTAAATAATCTGTCTACTCACATTTGCATAGCTGGATGACTTCACAATTTGCTTTTGCATTCCTTTAGGTCTATAAAAAGGAAATGGGGACCCTCATCCAGTTATATAGTTATATATGATAAGGTGATGCATGTTATTAGTAAAGAGGGTGTGTGGGCATGTCTGTTGCAATGTGTCTGCACATCACATGCAAGCATCCATGGTATTCATGGATGTCTCCTGCTAGATCTGAGTGTATAAGTGTGATCATTTCTAAACTTGCCCCTTCCCTCAAAAAAGAAACGTGGAAGCTTCTTAATACAATGATGCACAGTATACAGACAAAGGAAGCACAGCTACACAATTGTGGCATCTGCAAAAGAGCTGGAAATCTGATTTTTAATGTCACAACTTCCATTGGCCAAAGTGGACAGGAGATTAATGGAACTGTAGTCTAGAAAAGCAGGCTTTGCTCTGAAAACATTTTTGGAGCCCTGTCCGAAGATATTATACAGAAAAGCAATACCTACAACTGCATCGGAACAAGTATGGCAGATGGCTAACTCCAGCATTGCAGGCATATGGTTTAGTTCAAATGTTTTGAGTTGTGGTATTTTTGTTAATAGAATGGCCTTTCTAGCTTGATCCAGTTGTACTGACTGAATGTAAGCTAGTTTTAGCATGATACAGCACAAGATTTGCATCTAACCCCTACCCCATAAGGTTGAGTTGCTAGCAAGTCATGTTTGTAACAGAAGTAAGAACAAAACAAATTTCCCAAATACTAGCTATTGTTGAATTATGTCAATGTCAAGGGCTGCAAAATGGTGATCCTGAGAAAATAAGACCCACTACATTCAACCAATTGAGCAGGGCTGAGCATTTCTCTTAGCACGTTACATAGTGTGTAAATAACTGTACCAATTCTCTGCTTTTCTCTTTGTAACTTATCTATAAGGATCCATCACTCTTTCTGGGTTTTTTTTCCAGGGGGCACCACGCACCCCCTGTGGTGTAACTTTCTGGTCCTTACCTCTGCTGGTGATCAGCCAATGAGGAAAAGGCTCAGAGGGTTCAATGTGTATATAGAGAATTATGTATATTTAGTAAATTGAGTAAGTGGGACTTATGGCCAGTAATATGTTTTGCAACAATGGTACCAGGACCTCCAAACCCAACTAGCAAAACCAAACTGTTCACCTTGCCATGCCCATCCTGTAATAAGACCTAAGTTGCACCTGCCTGTAGTTCTGCATGATTGGACTTCCAAATATAATTCACAATGACCAGGAGTGTAACCTCTCAGTGTTGATAAAAGTAGTTTTTATATCTCTCTCTACATATATATATATAAATACATATATATACAGAGAAAACCAAACACACACAAAATATGAGCCACTGTTCCGCATCAAGACTGGAAGAGGAGAAAGTGTCCAACTTCATTGCAAAGTCTTAGTTTTTGAACATAATAAATCACAAACCAGTCAATAGGGACGAACTGACAAATGCGACATTTGATAAGGAAATGAGCATTGTTATGTTTTGTTTACTTCGGCCATTTTACTTTTTACCTTTCATTGTTTTCTGTGGGTGGTAGGAGGGGAATGGAGGGGTCTTGGCTTTGTTCATCAACCTTTTGTGGATCAATGTTGAGTCGATGCATTCTAACTTCTGTTTGTTTTGAGTTATTAAAAGCAGAAGGGAATCTATTTTCCCCTTTGTGCCAAAAAAAGAAAAATATCTTTTTGGAGTTCTTGTCTAAATACATTGTGTTGTTGTCTTGGTTCATTTGGGATATGTTCTACCCAGGAAAATGTTTCTAAATGACTACGTTCAACAGAGATACAAAAATATCTTGATATTAAAACCTTAGACCAAGAGGTGGGTCCAGTTATTCTGTCACGACTATGAAACGGGGAGGAGGGTCATTGGTGTTGTTTCTTTGATGTGGATATAATGGAGATTACTTATATTGATGACATAGGCAGTCCCCCTACTAATACAGTTCATTTATCACAGTTACTATGGTCAATTTGTCCTGTATTGGCTTTCTCAAGGTTTACTAGGTAAATGGTTTCCCAACTATAACCTAAATACTATATGCCCACAAGCACAAAGATATATACTGTCAATGGTAAATAAATATCCAGTGTAGACTTATATTGAGTGAAATACACATAGTACAGAATATACAATTACAATAGTACAGAATATACAATTACAATAGTAATGCTCTGTATAAGAAAGTAGTTTCCAACTAAACAATGTGTGTTCTAAGCATAAACTTTCCATTTGTAAAAACAATATGTTGATCCAAAGAGCATGGAGAATACAACTGGTTTCGACTCTAGATCTTCCTCAGGTGAGTTATCTGTGGATATTATATTGAATTAACAAAATCATATATACATCTCTACATACATAGAGTTATAAAACTGATACAAATACAATTTTACATTGTTTAGATGGAAACTACTCTGTTATATAGAGCATTACTATTGTGATTGTATATTCTGTACTATGTGTATTTCACTCAATATAAGTATACACTGGACTGTTTATTGTCATTGACAGTATATATATTTGTGCTTGCAGGCATATAGTATTTTTCCTCAATGCTTACCCAGTGTGTGAGTGCTATGTGAAGACACTCAGTTTAATTCTGGGGCCATATTCATGGTGTCATTAGTATGATTGAACCTACAAAAGCTTATGCTCTGCTGACACAGCCTTCAATAACCTTGGGACACCACTATGACATATAAGACAACAGAGAAGGGCTTGGATCCTATTTGTTAGCCCCAAATAGAGTGAATATAATGAATCAATTGCTGAATGTTGAGTCAAGGCATAGGCAAATCCTATTGATTCTATGAGTCTACTCTATATGGAATTAGTAATAGGATTCAGGTCTATGGCTATCAATTTAGCCGCCACTTAGTATTAACAAAACCTTCCTCAAAGGTGATTTAAAACATCTTTAAAAAGATAAAACTTTTAAACAGCAGAGATAACAAAAGATAGACCCAGGAGTCTTCACCACTCTCTAACCCGTCACCCCCAGAGAAACCCAAGAATGACTCCTCATCTGTGGGAGCATTAAGTATATCCCGGATCCTCTTCCCTTGTTGCTCCTCATCAGACTCCTGCTCCCGAGTAGTCCTTTTCCTTCCCTGAGACCAATCCATGATGTTTCCTTCCTCCTCCTCACTTGTTGGCTCATCGTCACCAGAGAAACCCAAGAATGATTCCTCATCTGTGGGAGCATTAAGTATCTCCTGGATCCTCTTTCTTTGTTGCTCCTCATCAGACTCCTGCTCCCGAGTAACCCGTTTTCCCCTTCTAGTGTCCACACTACTGGTAGCATCGCTACTCTTAGGCTCTACTACAACAGTGTATGTGTGGTTTTCTTGAGAAATAGAAGCACCATGTGGAAAAAGTTCAATTTCTTCTGGAAAGCTGCTCTGTAAGATGATGATACCAAAAGATCCCAACTCACGTTGCTTTCATTAATACTTTTAGTGGTGGTGCAAGTTAAAAAACAGCATCAGTTAATCTCAATGAATAAGGAAGTTTATGTAGTAGAAAGTTACGAATTAGGCAACATGGTCCATAAACACATAGGCTTTCAATGATACTAAGGGTATTTAGAAAGCTAGCTAGGAGTTAGTATGGATGAAACAACAACAAAGAAAGCCTAGTTCATTTCAGTGCAATTTTTCACAAAAGCATTCTATACCAGTGGCAGCTTTTAACATACCAGACACAGCACTGTGTTACTGGTTTTTTGGCATTGGCCTGATAACTTGTCCAGGAAAAAGACCCAGCTGGTGCACCAGACAAATTTATGCAAAAATTCTCCTAGACACAGCTGCTAAATGATCACCCAGAAATAAAGCTGAGCACAAATGAAGTTCCAAGTGGTTTCCCTGTCCAAATGAGATTATATGATTTCCTCTCAATCATCTTTCTTACTGACCAAAATCACCTCTGTCTTGTTTTGATTAGGTTTCACTTTGTTAACTTCCATTGCTGACTTCAAATGCTGATTCAGAACAGCTGTTACCTTGCTGGACACTGATGCCCATGCAGGTGGGGGAAATAATTTCAGACTCCCCAAACCAGGTTAGATGCAGGACTGACCAATCTTCATCTGATGGTAGTTTGCGTATGCTCAGATGCTCATTTTGTTATTTCACACGTTGCACCTACTTGGGTACCATGGACAAATATACCTTCTCAGCCCGGCAATGGCATATCTCTTTTGAATATATATTTCTGAGTGACTCTATGATAGGGTCACCATAAGACAGTCAGCAACAACAACAACAACAACAACAACCAGACTCCTATTGCTGAGAACTTCCTTCTCCAGGAAAGGGGAGAAGATTGAACCCAGGTGGACTACAAACCAAGCAGAACCTCAGGTTTGTACTGTGAAGCAAGACAATACTAGCCTGTACATACAGTAAGATTTAGGGATTAGATTTCACACACATGGCTTAAGGGATTCATTTAATGGAACATTGTTGTGGGACAGGTAGATGGAGGCATGGATTCAGTTCACCAAATCCTCATGAAATGTTATTTCACACGTTGCACCTACTGGGTACCTTGGGCAAATTATACCTTCACAGCCTGGCAATGGCATATCTCTTTTGAGTATATATTTCTGAGTGACTCAATAAGATCACCATAAGACAGAGTCAACAATAACAACCAAACTTCTACTGCTGAGAACTTCCCTCTCCAGGGAAGGGAAGGAGATTGAACCCAGGTGGACTACAAACCAAGCAGAACCTCAGGTTTGTACTGTGAAGTAAGGTAATACTAGCCTGTACAAAACATTTAGGAACTAGTTTTACACACATAGCTTAAGGGATCAATTTAATAGAACATTGTTGTGGGACAGGTAGATGGGACACTCATTCAGCTCACCAAATTCTCATGAAATGTATCAAGTACTTCTGTGGCTTGCATTTTAACTAGATGGAAGACAGTATGAAAAGATAAGTGTTGACAGGAATGATGGTCCTGGGACAATATTTTGCTTTTGAGGATTTGGAGAAAATTAACTACCACCTCTTACCTTGCTAAGCAAAGAGTTACCCTGGGGAAGGGGCCATATAGATGGAGGAGTGGATCTATCAATGCCTATGATACAGACAGTCCTGTCAATCTGGACCCCAAATAAGAAGTTACATGAAAGATCTTGCAACATCAGCAAGGCAGGAATTGTGAGCCTACCCCCCCCCCCAAATTGAATCAGATCCCTTTAATTGGCAGAGGGTGTTGGCATTTCTTGATAGAAATTCTCCTTCTACAAACTCAAACCAAATAATAGGAGTAGATGAAAGTTAAAAGGGCAGATATTCACAGATCTGAGAGGGAGCCTTAAATTTAGTCTTAAAATGCATCCTGTGAATCAGTTGATTGCCCTCTTTTTGTGAAGACCTTGAGCAAAATACAGTATTTATATCCATGGAATCAACATGCATGGTTACACTTACCCATAGTTTTCCTTTTTCATGTATAACATTTTATACAAGCTACACCCTCTTCTTGGTGCCACTCTTATTTGTCCCATTGAAAATAATAGGGTTCACTATTACCTATGGTTTTGCATATCAACATGAAATTCAGGAATGTATCCCCTACTGTCACAAGATCTGTCCTCCATATGTGAACTTGAATGTAGGGAGTGAGGAGCTTTTTTAAGCTTAGCAAGTCTTCAGTCAAGCAAAAAGTCTGTAACCCAGGTTGCAGAAGTATCTTTAGGGTAGAGGCATTGACAAGCTTCTGTTATTTACCTTAGCTTGGCTCCTTGGTAGGACTTTCTTTCTGAGGCCTCACCTACACTGTCATATAATACAGATTATGAAATCAGATAATTTATTATTTATTTATTTACTTTGCTTATATACCGCTGTATCTCAAGCCCGAAGGCGACTCACAGCGGTTCACAAACAGTAGAAACAGTAGAAACAGCAGTGGTTCCATACAACATATAACAATTGACTTAACACATTATCCATAAATTACCAATAAGCAATTACAATGCACAATTATTACAAAAAACAACCGTACCCAATCTTCTCATCATCCAAGCGTAGTCCAGGTTCGTCGTCCATTGTTCCATTCCTATGTTCCATTACCAGATTGCACTAAATTACTCAAACGCCTGCACAAACATCCAGGTCTTCACCTTTTTGCGGAATACCATTAGAGATGGTGCTAGTCTAATGTCCGTAGGAAGGGCGTTCCACAGCCGAGGAGCCACCACCGAGAAGGCCCTATCTCTCGTCCCCGCCAGCCGAGCTTGAGAAGCAGGCGGGATCGAGAGCAGGGTCTCCCCGGAAGATCTCAAACTCCTAGTGGGTTCATAGGCAGAGATGCGGTCAGATAGGTAGCTTGGGCCGGAACTGTTTAGGGCTTTAAAGGCCAACGCCAGCACTTTGAATTCAGCCCGGTAGCAGATCGGTAGCCAGTGGAGTTGGCGCAACAGGGGGTTGTATGCTCCCTGCGCTCCGCTCCTGTTAAAATCATGGCTGCCGAGCGTTGGACTAGTTGGAGCTTCCGAGCCGTCTTCAAAGGCAACCCCACGTAGAGAGCGTTGCAGTAGTCTAAACGGGATGTAACCAGAGCGTGGACTACCGTGGCCAAGTCAGACTTCCCAAGGTATGGGCGCAGCTGGCGCACAAGCTTTAGCTGTGCAAATGCTCCCCTGGTCACCGCCGAAACCTGGGGTTCCAGGCTCAGCGATGAGTCCAGGGTCACACCCAAGCTGCGAACCTGCATCTTCAGGGGGAGTGCGGCCCCATCCAACACAGGCTGTATGCCCTGTTCGGCCTTGCGACTGACCAGGAGTACCTCTGTCTTGTCTGGATTCAATTTCAATTTGTTCGCCCCCATCCAGACCGTCACAGCGGCCAAGCACCGGTTCAGGACCTGGACAGCCTCCTTAGTAGCAGGTGGAAAGGAGTGACAGAGTTGGACATCATCAGCGTACAGATGACACCGTACCCCGAAACTCCGGATGATCTCCCCCAGCGGCTTCATGTAGATGTTAAACAACATGGGAGACAATATTGAGCCCTGAGGAACCCCACAAGACAATGGTTGTGGGTTGAACAGGTGTCCCCCAACAACACCTTCTGAGATCGACCCTCCAGGAATGACCGGAGCCACTGCAAAACAGTACCTCCAAGACCCATCCCTGCGAGGCGTCCCAGAAGGATACCGTGGTCGACGGTATCGAAGGCCGCTGAGAGGTCCAGCAGCACCAACAGGGACACACTCCCCCTGTCGAGCTCCCGGCGCAGATCATCCACTAAGGCGACCAAGGCTGTCTCGGTACCATGTCCCGGCCTAAAGCCAGACTGTGCCGGGTCTAGATAATCCGTGTCTACCAAGAATACCTGGAGTTGTGAGGCCACCACACATTCCAAGACTTTGCCCAAGAAGGGGAGATTGGAAACTGGCCGATAGTTGTCGAATTTAGTGGGGTCCAGTGATGGTTTCTTCAACAGCGGTTTTATTATAGCTTGTTTTAAGCTCGCTGGAATCTTGCCTTCCCGAAGGGAAGCATTAACCACCACCTTAACCCACTCAGCCAATCCCCCTCTGGCCTCCTTTAGAAGCCAGGATGGGCAGGGGTCCAGGATGCATGTGGTTGGCCTCATTCCTCCAAGTATCTTGTCCATATCCTCGGGTTTCACCAATTGAAATGAATCCATCAAAACTGGACAAGCAGGTGCTCGTGTTACATCCTCAGAGACTGCCATTAACATGGTATCCAGACCAGAACGGATCAAAGCGACTTTGTCTGTAAAGAACTGAGCAAAAGCTTCACAGCGAGAAGTCGAATCGTCAGGGTTCCCACCTTGAGTGGTGGGATTTAAAAGGCCTCTGACAATTCGGAACAGCTCAGCCGGACGGTTCTTTGCAGACGCAATAGTGGCCGCATTAGCTGCCTCGAACTGGATTATATGAGTCTACACTGCCATATAATCACAGCAGTTAATCTGGATTTTATATGGCAGCGTAAAAGGGGCCTGCGAGCATCACTTGTCCTCAGCTCGCTCCAAGTCTCTCTCTGGGTTCTTAACCATCTCAAAGAACCTCCCCAGTTGGGCAGACCAGAAAAGCCACAGTTCACTTGGTACTCACATCTTTAAGACTCTTCACACCCCCAGCACTCAGGTCCAAAATGTAAGTTGTCTTTAGCCCTAATTTAAATACATACAGTATATAAATATATATAATAGCAATACCAACATCTGACATTCTAGTAAATTGTGCAAGCTGGAAAGGAAGAATATGAACAACCTATGGCTCCCTCCAAGTCTCTCTTTCTGGGTTCTTAACCATCTCAAAGAACCTTCCCAATTAGGCAGACCAGAAAAGCCGCAGTTCACTTGGCACTCACATCTTTAAGACTCCCAGAACTCAGGTCCAAAGAAGATACCAATAGCCCATCTCCTGTTACGCCGTTTCAGCCTTCCCACCTCCTTCCTGATATTTCTGGAATACTTTGCTTGGGATTCATTCAGCACCTTGCAGACCCTTTAATTTAGCCCAGCAGCTGGTTCTTCTTACCTTCTAAGATTAGGAGCAAGAAACAGCTGAGGCAGTGGTACTGGTGAGTCCTGCTCTTTCTCACCATGAATATAAGGGTTGTACTATATAGCCTGATCACAGGTGATGTTTTCTATTATGAAAGTGCCCTTCCCACTGAGAAGTTTCTCCCAATTTTCTACTGGTATCTGCCTTCTCTCAGACTGAATGTTGCTCTGCAGATAATCTGCCTCTTCCCTCCCAACTGTTGTGTAACCTGGAGGAAACAAAATTAGGGGGGGTGGGTTGTCTCTGTGGTGCAGAATCTTCAGCATGGGATGACAGGTATGTTCATAGCACAAGGTGATCCACATTGTAATAGGTGCTGGCGCAGAAGGGTGGGTTGGACCTGTATGGGCAGAATCCAAAGTGGCTTCTGTAAATCAAACTGATTTCATCAACCAAACTTCTCTCATACAGCCTTTTCACACACCTTCGAAAGCAGTTCTAAAGGAGAAGAGAATGAAGACCTATCTTTTTACCAGATTACAGCAACTCTTCTACTAGATTTACACTTAAGAGTAAAAAGAGAAAAAAACACAAAGGCAAAGAGTACAAATCAATTAGGTATTCATATTATATTTTTATAAAATTATTTACAGGCTGTTGTGGAGGTTTTTTGGTTATGAGCAAATCAATTGGCACAAAGAGCACAGCCACACAATATATTTCTTTTGCTTTGATTTAATAGCTAACATCATATATATATATATATATATATATATATATATATTCCCCAGCAACAGGGGAAAAAAACAAATAATGTACAAAATAAGCTGATGGGAACACAATGTCAAAAATAGCTTATTATGTTAAGTGCAAGGGAGAAAAGCCTCAATATAAAGCTTGATTGCAATGAAGATATCTGCTTAAATATAAGACTTGCATTAAAATATTTTTCTCATCTCTTTCTAATCCATCCCAACCGCCCAAATCCCTCAGATTGACCTATTTAAAATCTATATACACAAAACTCAGATGTAACACTTAACAGTAGCATTATGGTGCATTCAGGGAGTATGATTTCTCAGTTAAAAAATACACACAGCAGATGCAGTTGATTGACATGGATGGGATGTCCTCTTTTGAGGGCTGACAATATCATGTTGAGTGCTAGCCTCAGTCAGGTGACCCGTCACCTGTTACAATACAATATCCCAGCAACCATTTTCCCAGAATCCCACAGTCTTGGTCAGAACAGAGCTCACTGGATCCATATGGTGTTTGCTCTGTCTGGTCGACGTGGCTCCACTGTCAGTTCCCCAAATGTGGAGAAGAATTGCTCCATCTCTTTCTGTAACATGTCATTCCTCTTCTCAGCATCTTCTTTGGCCCGCTCGGCATTGCGCATTTTGATTTCTACCATTGTAAACTTCTTCTTCTCTTGTTCCAGTTCATCATGCAGGGTCATCATTTCTGTCTCCAAGGAGAGATTCCTCTGTTCAAGGCTGGAGGAATCCAAACAGAAGACAGACTTAATACACAGTTAAGAACTGAACCTATCATTTGTAGATTAAGATCATATGGGGAGATCCTGCTCTCGGCCTCACCAGCCTCTCAGGTGCAGCTGGTTGGGACGAGGGACAGGGCCTTCTTAGTAGTGGGCCCACGGCTGTGGAACTCCCTCCCGAGTGAGATCAGGTCAGCCCCTTCCTTCCTGACCTTTAGGAGACAGCTAAAGACCTAGTTGTGGGACCAAGCGTGCAGCCTACCATAGGAATATTTAAAGTGAAAGTTGAAAGTGCAATGACCCAGGACTGTTTACGACAATGGCTATGTCTCTGTCTGATAGGTGATGTTATTTTATGTGATGTGTTTAATACCGTTTAATGTTATATTAGGGATCAATTTTAATATTTTATACTATTTTTATCGATGGCATTGAATTGTTTCCAACATTGTGAACCGCCCTGAGTCCCCTTTGGAGTTGAGAAGGGCAATATACAAATATTGCAAATAAATAAATAAATAAATTAGCAAGAGTTAGGTTGCCATGTTAGACAGAAAATGTGGCCTAGAATAAAAGGTCAAAAATGTAATTACTTATCTTTTTATTTTAACTGCTGGGGTGGGTGCGAATGCCTGGGAAATATTTAGCCTCAGGTTCCAAATTCCCTTAGGTAGCCTAGAGTTCCAGAAAGTGGGACATGGAGCAATGAATTCAAACTACAGAAAAGAGATTCCGCCAAAACATGAGAAAAACCTTCCTGACAGTATGACCTGTTTGACAATGGGATGTGCTGCTACAGGTAACCTAGCAGACAGGCCCGTAGCCAGGATTTCGTTTTGGGGGGGGGGGGGGCTCCATTTTTTTCAGGGGGGGTTTCGGGGCTGAGTTTGGGGGGGGCTGAGTCTGAGTGAAAGAGGGTCTAGCCTAGCAAACCTTTTGTATCATTACCCCAATACCCCCATGCATATGGGATATATTGATTATGGTGATCAGATCATGATATGAATAAACATAACAGTTTAAATAATGCACCAGTAAGGCCTTTTTGCAAACCACCATGAGAATTTGGGGGGGGGGCTGAAGCCCCTCACCCCCCCCCCCCGCTACATGCCTGCTAGCAGACAGTTCTTATCTTCATTAGTTTGTTGTCACCTCAAAATATCTGCTGCCTGAGGCAATAATCTCATTTTGCTGAATGGCGAAGCTAGTCCTGCTTCCTTATTTTTTTCAGTCAATTCATAGCCAGTCTTTCTCACTAAAAGGTTCTTGTTAATTTCCCCAAGTAGCTGGATTCCTGATTCATTATGAGACAAACGGAAATTCAAGTAGATTTATTAAGCTATCAGTACTTGGGAGCTTTTATTGGCTTTATATTTTCTCCAACTCCACTGTCTAATGCTGTAGCCATAAATATGCCCTGCTGGCTTTTGCTGAACAGAACCGCTTGTTTGCAAACAAGTTCTTAAGGCTAACACATAATTGGGTTTCTTGTTACCGAAAGAGAAGCCTGACTGCTGTATATCAGCTAATTACAACCAGGCTTGGAATGAAAACAACTATCCTAAAATAAACTAGTCCAGTGTTATTAAATCAGATGATATAAGTCTAATGGAAGAGTTATTTTGATAAACCTCTTTTGATTGAGCTGAGGAAGAGAAGGAACTTGAAATACACAAGGCAGAAGGCAAAGTCTTCAAAGAAGTTTGTTTTTTGCTACAGAAAGGTTATGCTAAATTTACACCCAGCTTACCTTCTTATGGTGCCGTAAAAAAAAATCAAGTAGCCAACAAGCCAGAAAAAATGCCCAGAGGATAGGATATATTTTACAAATGGTGGGATTTTACTGGATCTTTATGGGCATCAAGATGAGTAGTTAACACAATGAGATAATTCTATGCATTATAGAACAGCCTATTGAAACTGAGGGTATTATCTAGACTAGAACATCATTGCCCAAAATAGTTCCCAAATTATTCAGTCAGCCACCATGGCAAATACCTGACTGTGGATGTCACTTTCCAGATGTTTACCAATTAGCAATGTATCAGCAAAGAAACCTAGGGAATGTTCAGATCTACTGCTGAAACATATCTGCCTGGCCTTGCAAATTGCCTGGAGTGTATGTTGGTGATTGCAGGGAGTCAGCTAAATTTTTACACACAATTCCAAAAGTGTTAAGGAAAGAGATAATTTAGAGCAGATGAAAAGGGGGACAGGTGCTTGGATCTCTATCTATCTACTGATGGAAAATACTTGTTGACTTGTGTTACATAAATATGATGTGAAATGTGAACTTTACAGTAGTTTGCTGTAATGTACCATTCGTCATATTTTTAAAAAGTTGACATGATGGGGAAAAAGATATTTAAAATCAGCATAAAATTGATTTAAACTGTGCTATTCCCATTTTTGATTATTTCAAAAAGTTTGATTTTGTTGGCTTGTGTTATCTGTTCCCAATTGTACCTCCCTGTTGCTTGAAGGGGAAATGGGAAGTACACATTAGTAAAAATAAGAATGTCACTACCTCCTTCAGACTGTCATATTCCCTTTGACAATAGCCACAATCCTTCCAGTAGCTGGAAGATCAGAAGACTTGAGTTTTCCCAGGAACAAGACATTATCATGAGCTATATCTCTTTGAGTGGAAATTTGTGAAGTAGCAAAAACACAAAACATACATAGAGAGAGAAAGATCAACACAGCCGTATGCCTTTTTCAAGAGGTGGTTACAGAACGCTGCCACGATGATCTCCTGCATATCAAAATCTACTATTCTGCAATGATTGGGGACAACAGAGCTACATTTACATGGGGAAAAAGTATGGTAGTTTAGACAACGTCAGTGATAAGATAATGTCAATGATGAGATAAATGCATTCTGGGTTGTAGAATTCACTATCCAGAGTGCTGAAGCTATTTTGAGGAACAGGCGCTTTCATAGTTTTGTAACAGTTTGGACTGAAACCCAGCGCATAGTCAATAATCCACCGACAGCCACCCAGCTACTGTTGAGTTCTGTGAACAATGCCTTCTCTTCACTAGCTGACAATTCAAGTTTTTTATTTCTTCTGACGTCTTTTTTCAAACTGGGAAATGTCCATTCTTTTCCAGCTGCTTAGTCCCACACCACCCTCCCATGTGGTCTTGCTGGATAGGATGAAAGATCTGATGCTAGTAAGGACCAGATGCCAGGATAGTCACTTTTATATGTATCTGTTATTTTTATTATGGTGCTCATACACTGCCCATTCCTCCCACACACAACAAGAGGTGCTGTTGCTTTTAAAAATTAACAACAGCAAGACTCTGGACTTTTGAACTTTATAATAAGCAAGTTCTGCTGAACTGGGTTGAGTCTCTGAAACACCAAAATCCTTTCTAAGGCTCATTTGCTATTTTCTCTAATGGGATCAAAAGCCTCCCATGCTCATCACAAATCTGAAACAGCAGCCAAGGCAGAAAGGGTTTCTGCATCAGCAGCAGTTGAGAAATGTATTTTCTTTTTTCGATTGTCTCCCTCTCTGTCCCCAGTTATTGAAAGAAATAAATTTTGTGGCAGTGGTTAGCATTTACAGAGGGATTTTTAGATCACTGGGTGGCAGAAGGAAAAAAATATGAGCAATATATAATCCCCCTAGGAGATAAATTAAGCCAAGTGCTAAGATGTCTTCTGACCTCTCTGCCCCCACCCCCACCCCTTGCCTCATTGTTAATGCAATGCTTCGTGTCAGAGCATATATAATTTAAATGACTGTTCCTTGGGATCTAAGTGAAAGGTCCAAATACTATGATCTTAGCTCATTTGACTAACATATAATACTTGCTTTTTCCATTTAGAAGGAGATTCAAGCAACCCAGTCTCCAAATGAATTAGATTATTTTGATTTAAGTTGATTGCTTATGCTGCATTTCTCTGCATTACTGTAGATGCCACATAAGTGCATTAGAATGCAACCTTTTTATATATTTTTCTGCTTTGAAGTCTTATGGCACTCCACAGACATTAGATAATTGTAAGGAATGTATTAATTGCTAGTACACATATTGGTTGTTGTTGTTCATTCGTTCAGTCGTCTCCGACTCTTCGTGACCTCATGGACCAGCCTACGCCAGAGCTCCCTGTCGGCCGCTACCACCCCCAGCTCCCTCAAGGCCAATCCAGTCACTTCAAGGATGCCATCCATCCATCTTGCCCTTGGTCGGCCCCTCTTCCTTTTGCCTTCCACTTTCCCCAGCATAATTGTCTTCTCCAGGCTTTCCTGTCTCCTCATGATGTGGCCAAAGTACTTCAACTTTGTCTCTAGTATCTTTCCCTCCAGTGAGCAGTCGGGCTTTATTTCCTGGAGGATGGACTGGTTGGATCTTCTCGCAGTCCAAGGCACTCTCAGAACCTTCCTCCAACACCACAGCTCAAAAGCATCGATCTTCCTTCGTTCAGCCTTCCCCAAGGTCCAGCTCTCACATCCGTAGGTTACTACAGGGAATACCATGGCTTTGACTAGGCAGATCTTTGTTGCCAGTCTGATGTCTCTACTCTTTACTATTCCATCGAGACTGGACATTGCTCTCCTCCCAAGAAGCAAGCGTCTTCCGATTTCCTGGCTACAGTCTGCATCTGCAGCAATCTTTGCACCTAGAAATACAGTCTGTTGTTCCATGGTCAGTTCTGACTGTTGCTACTTGGTCCTTGTACAGATTCCTCAGGAGAGAGACAAGGTGGCTTGGGATGCCCATCCCATTAAGAACTTGCCACAATTTATTATGATCCACACAGTCAAAGGCTTTAGAATAGTCAATTAAGCAGAAGTAGATGTTTTTCTGAAACACATATTGGTAGTACACCCAAAATGGTGTGGTGGTTTGAGTGCTGGACTACAACTCTACAGACCAGGGTTCAATTCCCTTCTTTGCCAAGGACACCTATGGAATGCTCTTGCAATTTGTCCACCTACAAGATGGTATCTTGATATGTCTCTCCTGATACCCCACCATCAACAATAAGTGGTAGTGGGGCTGCATCTGTTTTAGGGACAGTTTGGTCATTGCTCAGTTGGAAAGGAGGAAGAGTTTACTAATAGAATGCTAGCCATTAATTCTTGGAGGCAATGACTCACTTGTTTTAAAGAGAGAGAGAGAGTAAAAGATTTCATGAAACTCTGTGCCATGCACTGATGGGATTAGATGAATAAATGATGATGTCGAAAGGTACACAGTTGGGTTAAATTAAAGGCATGAATCTTTTGGAAGTCAGAAAACTCACGCATAGCTCTCTGACCAAAGACAGAACTAATGCATATGTTTTTGGCACTGTATAGTCCAATGTTCATAGTAGGCGTGTAGGGAAATTGTATAGCCTGCATCTCAAATGCAGTTTGAGGGGCTACAATTAAACTTTTGGGTCATCCTAATCCCCCCTTGATCACTCCATTCTCATCCTCTCCCCAAAAAATGGTTGGATGAAAGAATAACCAGGATAACTGGAAAACATTCCTTTCATTATACATTTTGGGTCCTTTTCCTACAGTGGGAAAAAGATTACAGGTCCCCAAAGTATCCAGGTGTGGTGAAACATCACTTCCAGTTATTTAACATGGCCGCTATGGTGGTAGAATGAAAAGCTCCAGAGGATGAATGTGAGCAAACACATCTATTTAGACATCATTTTTGTTGTGATTAGGAATAAGCAGCTAGGGAAAGGTTTCATGATCATTTTCATTTCAGCAAAGAAATCACAAGCAAAAGTCCATGCATTGTGCACAGAAGGTTCCTGCTCTATCTCTAGTGTAATCAGGAGCAGCTGATGAAAAGAGAGCTCTACTTGGGATCCTTGAGATTCCTGCAAAATTAGGGAAACAGTGTGACTTGGGTTAAAGTACCTCCTTTGTGAGTACAAGAAAGCAATGTTGGGGAGAGAGTGTAGGTTAGTGGTAAAATTGTTCTGATCTTCAAAGATGGCTGGAAGGAGTCCTCTCTAAAAAAAAAGATGTTACCAGTCATCATAAGAATATGATGGGCCAGCTTCCTATGTCACCACTATCAGGTCACATAGAAGATACTAGGCAAGCAAGAACCTAATGTATCAGCAAAAACTTTCAGGTATCTCAGCAAATTTCCCTTCTACAGGCACAACACTATAGGAAAGGTTTGTGTGCTGCCTTCAGAATCCCAGGCATTAATGCCCTATTCCCTGTAAAAGCTTAAAATGGAGCTCCCAGTCTGACAACATACCTTTTTATCCTTGTTTCATACTCCAGTTTTTGTTTTGTCATTTCCTGCTTCAGGCTCGACACAAGGCTGTGCAAAGCACTATGGTTACTTGTGTTATTGGCAACAAAGGTTTCACTGTTGTCACTGCTACTGGTAGCCCGGCTGCTCCGTCCCCCAATACTTCTTCGATCACCTTTGTTCTCATAATCCCCTTGGTTGGGATCTTCATGCTGTGGCTCATCTAGTACAGGGTCTTCAAAATTGGCTCCATAAAAGTCTTGCTCAGGGCAGGTGGTGGTAGAAGACCGGCAGGAATTGGAATGCTCTGGGAGGGATATTTCACAAGAGGATGTGGACCAAGTTGCACTATCAACACTCTGCTTATCTTCAGCATTCACTATGGAGAACTGCTGGTGTACATTGTCATAAGTAGAGAGTCTATTATGCTGGCCCGACTCACTCATGGATTCCTTTTGCTTGTTGTCCCTCAATGTTACATACCCATTTGGCATCCAGCACTGGTTCCGGCTGTTCAAAGAGTTGCTATGGGCATCAGTGCTGGAAACACCCATCCGTACACCTCCATTCTGCACACTATGTGTACCCATTTTAGTTACTGGTCCTTTCAAGGAAGATGTTCTTCTAGCCTGCAATGTACCATTTGATAAATGGGGTGATGTCTTTTCCTGACCCTCCACTGAACTGCTAAAGGATCCATTGGTGACAATACCACTGCCTTTATTAAATGCAGGATTCTTTTTCACCATGAGTGGTGGACTTCTAGTCATGTCCAATTTGTGAATGCTGTTCCTTGGGCTATTTGACTTGCTCCCAGGCTGGGCAGTTGGAGATCCGTTGTCCACAATGGTTCTTTGTGGAGATTCGGGTTTCTCCCAAGAGCAGCGTCTCACTGGGGATGATTCCTTGGTGTTGTTGTTCTCTTTGTTCTGTAGCTGACCAATTATCACTTTCTTCTGGACCTCATTGTTGTTATTACAAACCTCTGGCCCACTTTGGAGATCTGCATCTTTGGGAAACAGTAGCTCATGTTCGCTTATCATCACGGACATCAACTGCTGGACAACAACCGTTCCTAGAAGAAGACAAAACACCCAATTACATGAAAAAGAAGTATTGCATTCCTGTCTTTACGTTGTGTGAAAATTTGAGGTCTGAAATCCTTTAGTTATTCTCAACTAGAGTAGACACAATGAATAAATGTGATTTAATTGTTTGGTGATTTAACTGTTAAACAGAGTCTGGATGGCCATCTGTCAGGGGTGATTTGAATGCAATATTCCTGCTTCTTGGCAGGGGGTTGGACTGGATGGCCCATGAGGTCTCTTCCAACTCTTTGATTCTATGATTCTATGGTTCAGCAACTGATTGGATGCATCAACTCCGGTTGGAACTAACCAATGAGATTTAGCCTAAATTTTCTACTGGATTCATCTTCTGATGTAAAACAAAAACAAAAAGGCATTTACATGATCACAAGCAATTGCATCATTTGTTCCTTCTTCCTCATTATTCAAAATAAAGCAAATGGATGTACTTGACACTTACAGTATACTGGAAAACAAAAAACAATAGATAGTTAAAAATGGGAGATCAGAGAAGAAAAGATGACCAATTAACCTTGTATTAACTCACAAATGAGTTAGGCTTTTAAAATATGCTGTTTGAAATAAAGGTATAACTCAGTTAATGAAGTGGATTGCCATTAGTTCTTTGACAGACAATTTGGTACCAGAGGCAAAAGTAACATGGAAAGGAGAGGAATAGTCCCAACAACACAAAAAGGAGAGCAGTTCAACTTGTTTCACCCAACTTATTATTCAAAACCAACATTGCACACATGTGAAAGGATCTGTTTGGCTTACATGGGTCAGAAAAACTTTACACGAATGCATTGAAGATTGCTTCCAACAGAATCCAGTCTCTGCTTTTTTATGATTGTCACTTTGTGGATAAGTGTATTAGATTTATACATTAGAGATACACAGTGTGAGTGTGTATATCTAATGCATAAACCTAATATGTTTGTGTAAGTCTCTATACAAATAATGCAAAATGCAAATTTCGCAGCTGTGCTCCATTCCCTCTCTTTACATACTATTTGTTCTTTCATTTGTTTATTACCCAAATTTATTTTTCTCATATTTACACAGTCATTTTTCTCAGTACACAAAGTGCATTCATTCTGTCATGTCAAACAATTCCTAAAGGTTGGCACCTTCAGGAAAACAGAGAATGAATGGCAGAAATATATAAATACTAGAAAGATTAATAATCTCATTACAATGTATGATGTTTACTTCAGTATGACTTCAGGCCCAAACAGCAGGTAGTTGGTCAGACTTGAACACACAATGCAGGGAGGAAGGGATTCACACATTTTTATAATATTCCATTCTGCTGACTGGAGCAGCATTACCATAATGAGAAGAGAGTTGTTAAATTAATTCCATATAAATATCATTAAAGGTTCCATAACGAGACTGGGAGAACTCACTGAAGTGCATCACACAAGCCTATAGCATGTATGGCTTATGGTATAAATCAAAGGGATGGCTCTTGCGGGAGGAGGGGGCTCAGTGGAAATGCACCATAATAAATGGATGGGCTGCTTTTGGAGGAAGGCAGGAGTGGACTACCAGCAAGACTCCCGTTCTTAATTCATGAAGCGAATCTCTAGAAGTTGGCCTCCAGTGGCACATGAAACCTTTCCCCTTCTCAGTCCTTCCAGATATTGGGTTGGCGTGTTTATAGTTACAATACTGTCTGAAGGTATTTTAAGGCATGTTTGATGCTTTTGCAAAATCATTTCCCACTGGCCACGAATCCCTTTTCTCAAGATTAAATTGAAGAACATAAGAATGCTGGTTCTTCTCCTCCCTTATCATATCTTTTCTTCACGTGTTGTATCTAAATTGGGTAAGATTCCTGAGTGAAAGGACTGTTGGACTAAATATTTATAAAGATGCTCTGGGAACCTTTTGTCTAAAGAGCAGGTCATAAATCCATCAATGTATAAGAAATAAATAAGAAGAGTGATCTAAAGTTAGACTAAAATCCTGTTTGGGCATTAGCTCCTTTATTGGGCAACACAGAAAAGCCATACATAAGTAGGACAAGAAACACTACCCTCCCAATCAGAAGTCAGTTTGCCTTCCACAGCTGTAGCCCTGCTTCCAGTAACATGTATTCCAGTAATTGATTTCTGGTATGTACTTTCTCTTACGTCAGTGGTAGTAAAAGAAAATAGTAGTAAATAGTCATTTATAACCGTAGTCTCAATCGCAGTGGGCCCTGGATACCGAATGGGACTCCCCCCTCCCCCAAATTGTATACCATACTCTAGTCCTGTAATATACAAAGACAAAACAAAATGGTGTCCCTTATATAAAATGACAAAAACAAACTTGCTGTTTGGAGTTGCAAAAATATTTTCAAACTGTGAGTGGCTGAATCCATGTATATAGAATCTGTGAATAGGGGATGACTGTAACCCACTTTTAAAGCCTTTCATATTGATGGCCATCAATATATACAATGATTTCTTTTACATTTCAACTATGTGCTGTACGAAATAGCTTTTTTATCTATCATCTTATCACCCAGATTCAGGAGATTTCTGCATGTTCCAGTGCACATAATTTTATTTACTTCTGTTATGTCTTCCCTTAAATCTCTATTTTGAAATGTTATCCTAGCCTCTCAATATGTTTGGGAGACATGAAAAGTTCTCAAAGTTTTCCTGACAGTGCTTATGGATTCTTCAGCATGAGTTAAATGAACAGATTTCCATCTTCTCAGATTTTATGACTTGGGGTGAGATGCATACAAAAATACTGCTGCTGAAAGATCATTTGCAATCATGAGAAAACACTTTGATTTGCATGCTGTTCTTCCTTCCCACTCTAATTAGCAAAATAATTCATTTGTTGATGAGAAGGTTATATATCCACGGAAGCAGAAAGAACTCAAAACCTGATATCTAGATTTCTTGAATTAATTGGAATGGTAGGCAGTGACTCTTTTCACAAAAAATTAATGAGTCTTTCAATTTCAGCTCAATAATTTCTGGTTATGAACTTTTAGCTTTCACTGCTGGTTCAGACTAATCATCTGTCCAGGAAAATCTGGATTAAGGAAGCTGGGGCCATGGAGCAGTTCTGAAAATGAGGATCCATTTGTGGAGATGGTCTACTCTTAGAAGACCAGCTGTACACTGTGACAGATTAGATTACACCTGGCAGTGGTGCCAGGGTGAGCAGAGACATTCTCAAGTTCTTCTCTTTCAGTAAACTGGACACTCTGTATCACCCCTGCCTCTATCCCATCTAGTATGACCAAGGTTGGCATCCCTGTGTCAAGATCCCCAATATACCACCTACTATCTGCTTCATTAGGAATGTGAGGAATATTCAAAAATATTGGGGGAAATGGTAGGAAAAACATATTCCTCCAGTGTTCAGAAACTCTGGAAATAACCATGAGCTGATGAGAGTATTTGCCATTCAAGACTTATTCTATTCAAAATCCATATATTGTTACTAGTTTGGATAGAGAACAGCATTTTTCCTGCATTGCACAGAAATATTGGCTGGCACCTTGTTAGGCAGGAACAATGCCATAAGCTAGACTTAGAAACTTGCTACTGCTTTGTATAAACATTTGAGATCAAAGCACCATTGCCACAATTGCAAATACCCTTCAAACCCACCTTAAAAAGTCTTGTGGGGCTGAAGAGCTGGACACTGTAGGATGATTTGGCCAGTTCCCTCGTGCCAGTGAATAATGGTGCAATTGTTCACTGGTGGGGGGGGGGGGGGCTGATAATATTTTCAAGTCATGGATAGTGGAATCTGTGGATGCCATCCACTGTATGCACCTGTTCTTCACTTATTATGGTAAATGGACCCAAGCTGAGTGGAGAATGCTACTAACCCTTGTGAAAGGCTTGAAGAAAAAGATCTAAAATCCTTATCTCCCTGGAAGCATTTCTGTCTTAACAATATTCTAGTGCAAGAAGCATTTGTGTATGTGTTTGTGTATATGTGTGCTGCCAAAAGTGGCAGGGGGCTGCTAGACTCTAGAACATTTCTCCAATAGCACCACTGATAATCTAGACTTGTACCTGAACGATGCATAAGGAGATGGCACAGAACCTCAAATACTTATTCATACACATACACACCTCCTATTGTTTGGCAGTAAATAGTCTTGTGCTCTGTTCATAAGAAGGAGGTATGAAAGCAGTTGTGGACTCACTAAAAACCTATGAAATATCACTATAAAGTTGTCTAGTTAGTACCCAAGTAGACACTGAAACACAATTTTATTGGTGGTTGATACTAAGGAGCTCCCCTCTACCCTAAATAGCATTAGTCAGGGATTTGACTCAGATGTCAGAAATGGTTCTGAAAAGTAGTTAGACAACCTGTTAAAAACTCTCAGATAAGTATTCCTCTCCTTTAACTTATTCCCAGATACACAGAAGCACCTTTACAAACTTTTTTAACAGCAATGGCATTGATGTTGCAGCATAATCTTTAGGCTACTTAACAAACCAATTTTTTACTCACCTTCCATGATAGTCAGAGGATCTTCCACTTTGGGACGCAGGATGTTTGGACCAAAGACAGTTGCAAGGTTTTGAACACTCATTTTGTTGACTCCAGAATAGGATTGGACTTCATCCAGGAACCTGTTCAGCCATACCAACAACAACAACAAAAGGGGGGAGGGGACAAAAATAGAAAATGGAGGATCAGGTTTCAGTCAAATCTAAGCAACAGGACCAAATGGGTTAAGGTGCCATAACACAATTGGTAATTGCTTCAATGGTTTTTGAAAGGAAAACATCAGGCACAATGTCCCCCAATCCAAAATAACTTTCAAACAGAGGTTCTTCTTCAAACTGTGACCTCCTTGCTCCACCTATATGCGATTTTCACATTAAAATAATCTCTTTTTTGCATGAATGGCTGCTTTCCTTCCAATGTAAATAGCATTTACATGTGGCTTAATTTCAATCTGCACAGAACAAGGGTAAAAAAATCAACGGTCCCTGGCCTTCAGCCTCAGGTCCTGATCTTAATTTTCTTTTCAAAAAGCCACTCATGCCATTTCAATGACATCTTGTCGAGTTTGGTCATCCATTGTTCTGCATGAGATTCATGTGAATTTGGAAAAAAATAGGAAAGGTGTTGCTGAATAAGAGACTGGCATCCACAGCATAACATTCTTACTCAGTTCACAGTTTCACAAGTGTAACTATTACATATACATATACAGATGATGCACAGTACAGCTACAATTAGTTTCCAGGAAAAATACAAAGTGCCGATTTTGAACTTTAAAGCCCTACATGGTTTAGGTCCAGATTACCTAAAATAGCACCTTCTCCCATACAATCCACGCCAAACATTTTGGTCCTCTGGTGGGCGTCTACTCCAATCCGCCAGAACTCAACTGGTGATCATCACCCAGATAACCTTTTCATCAACTGCCCTAAAACTGTGGAATGCCCTACTGGAAGGGCTTTGACAGCTAGATCAGCTGTTGGAATTTGAGACACAATTGAAGACCCATCATTTCTAACAGGCCTGCCCTGTCAATTTTAATTTGTGAATTTTAATCTGCATTTTAGCAGTGGAGTTTAAGTTATATTTTAACTCTGTATATCTCCCTATGTGTATTTTAATAGTGTTTAATCTCTTGTTTTAATAGTGTTATATTCCACCTTGAGCCACAAGGAGAGGCAAGTAATACATTCATCATCATCATTATTATTGAGTGGGGCTAGCACCACCAAATTCACTTACTCGGTTCCAAAAAAGGACAGTTCTCTCAGGGCATTTTCTAGATCCCCCAGTACAATTCCATGGAATATTTCCACAAGAAACTCTTTATTTCAATAGGGTTTGCTATGATCTGCAGTTTTAAATTTCCATAGTAAGTATAGGAGCATATCTCTCACAGATATGGGCATCATCATATATAACTACTCTTCAGTATTTTTAATTTACTATTGTTTCAATGTCTACAACTGGGACTGCATTCATAGATTTGCAACTGATTCTATAATGTTGATATTCACATGATTGATTGTGTGTACAACCAGTAGTTAGCTTGCAGGTGTGCATCTATACTGAACATGTCACAGGATTACAGATAGAAAAACTACAGGTTCTTGGCTAGAATTAATAAAGAGGGATTCCTGCTTATAATTGTTACTGTGTGTATCTTTGAACACATTTGGTTGGTTTTAGACTTAAGAGAGACTCATTAAAATAATTGAAAACAAAAAGTTATGAATAAAATAGCTATCTTTTGCTTGAAAAATACAACTACATATGGTGTTTACCCAATGGAAGCAATAACATAGGATTGAAACAGTAGAATGATATTTCATCATAATGTTTCATGGCAAGAACATTGCAACTGCAATTGTGCTTCATCTTTATAAAAATACAGCTTTACTTTGTGAAACAGAACAATCATATGAAAAGGGAAAATTTCAAATCTCAAGTTAGCTGCATGAGAACAACTGAAGAATGTTCCAAGTTTCACACTGTTCTATCAACGTTGGTGTGCAAGATGATAGCCTGGACTCTATTTACCATAGTCACTGAATCCCAACATCTGAGTGTTGACTCACTCAGATGCAATGGGTCTATTCTATTTGGGTCTAATAGAATTCAAGCTGACACAGGTGTTTCCCAGTTGACACCTTAATCAACATAAGGACTTTCTGGTCAACCTTTGCTGACCTCTATAAGCGTCTTCCAACAGTCATTATCTCCAACCAGCATACCATTCAGCTTCATACAACTAGGATAGACCTACTGAAATGAATGGGCCTTAAACTGATCAATTAATTGAGTTAATGGAAAGTGCAGAAAGCCACATCTGGTGTGCAGAAACAAGACTATCCTAAAACCAGTCAGCTGTACCAGCCACCACAGTTGTGTGAGAGTAGGATAAGAATCAGCAATGTCTTCCTGATCTTATGAATAAAAAGCAACTGAGGGTAATTAATAATAGGTTTCAGAAATAAGTTTTAAGATTTAATAATTCTATTAGTTCAGTATTACTTCACTGAAAATTGTCTAGGGCAATCTGCTAGCACATGATGTCTTTGAGGGGCACCCAAAAGAGAACTGCTTTGTGATCCTTGCCAAGTTGGTTACCTGCAAATGTACTTCAACAGGTTGAAGTTGACAAGTGGCAAGCTCTTCACGTGTTTCACTAATTCATTCAGCCCCTGTGGGAAGATGGCAAAATAAATAAATATGAAGCAAGTATCAGACATGGGCAGAATTAATTGAAGCATCAGAAAACTGACCAAAACATTAAACTTCCCACTACCATTGATGTCGAGACTGTGATGGATGACTGCGGCTGCTTTGAAAACAAAGAGAAAAATTACAGCTGCCACCATTTCAGGTTGATAATGAGAAAATGCTGAGTTGTTCAATATTTCATGTCCCAGGGCATAGTTTGAAAGTGTAAACCAAAACCACTGCACTGATTTGAATCATCCACCTACAGATGGATATAGATACCTCAAAATTCTTTGGATACATACAGGAATGAGAAACTGTGGTCATCCAGATGTTGCTTGACTGCAACTCTCACCATTGCTCAATATTGCCTATGCTGCTGGAAATGGTCATTTAACAACATCTGGAAGACCACATGATTCTTGCTCAAGTATAACTGTCTTGAGCTGGGAATTCCTTTGACATTATAACCTTTCTCGTGTCTGATCTTTTTCTGTAGCAAAAGGACCTGTGGGTGGGAGTGACATCATCTCCTCCAAATCACTGGTGGTTTTAAATGTATTTGCCCACAATCCACCCCAAGTATCACTGTTTTAAGTCACTGTGGGAAACTCAAATGATGGTTCCTTCTTTTGGGGGTGAAGGGGAAAAAATAAACCAGCATGAAACTTTTTAATGCTGGCTGGGGAATTCTGGGAGTTGTGGTCCAAAGAGTATGTTTTTCCTGCACAACCTTTAGAGCACTCTGACACACACATTGCAGATAGTATAGTATGACCTAAGAGAGCAACCTGTGTCCTTCAAAAGTCTTGTTTAAGCTACTATGCCTGGCCTGGAAGTATGGACTGGAAACATCCTTAGAGGTTCCATCCTTAGAGGAAAACCTTTGGTCAGTGGTACAGAACTGGTTTAGGACATAAAAGGGTCCTGGTTCAACCTTAGGAACATCCAGTTAAAAGGCTTAGGTGATGGGAATGACATCGGAGAACTTCAACAGAATGAGAGTTGGGGACCTTCAAAAGTATGTCATTGCCTACTGCAGTTGTGGGGCAGTTGGTCAATTTTTCATGTACCTCACAGTCAGGATCCCTACCATATTACCTCCAAAATGGCAATAGGAAGTAATGTATTACTTCCAGTCACCATTTTTAAGGACAAATGGGGAAGGAAACAAAAAGCATATTTGAGAGATGGTACAGATCCAACAAAGTTGTGGAGGCATTTTTGCATCTTTGTGCACGCTGAGGAAGACTGTGGGTGTCATTTTGAGGACAATTCATGCCTGAAATCAGGCCAACTTTTAAAACCTTTGGGGACTTTGGAGGGTTTGGGAGAATGGGATGGCCTTTATGGACTGCAAAGGTGGTGTTCAGGGGTTGTAGACTTGGCACCCCTGTCATGTTGGTATAGATGGAAAGATAATCTAGAACATGACAAGTGCCTCCTGCTTCTTGGATGTAGCTAAACTTGAATACATTGATGATTTTTGACTGCAAGTACCAATATCCTGTAGCTGATGTGGCACCTGACCATGAGAGTTAAAGTGCACCAGGTCCAAAAAAGGAACTTTTCTAGTCCAGAGTCCCACATCCAAGAGTGACCGCAGTTGGGGTTGAGTTAATTCATGCAAAATTCCCCAAATACATTTTACCCAAAGCACACGGTAATGTTAGGAACAGAAATCAAGGCAGCAAACTCACCGTTTCTTCTTCCTTGCTGAGCATTTTGGCACAGGCAAGAAAATCTTCATATTTGGAGTATGGGATAACTGGTTCTGGAAGCTCTCGAAGGTACAGTTTCAGAAGTGATGCCACTGTGTGTACATCTGTGTTTCTGAGCAGAAGGAACATACAAGATTATTGCTAGGAACGTCAGACTACCCTCAGGTGAACAATGCTATTGTTTGTCTGCTTGTGCAATGATATTATCCAAGATACTAGCTTGGATAATATCATATCTGAGAGTTCCAATTTGGCAAGTATTGGTTCGATTAACCCTGTATTGTCCTACATTAACAACTGCTTTAAAAATCCCCCAGTTTCTCTTTTCTCCCACTTTCCCCTCATTCTTCTCTGCTTATTTCAATTGCTGCAAAATCAATTCCAAGTGCAAAAGTGCTGGAGAGGGGTAAGATCTTGACCTTCTGATGCAGTCTCTCCTAACTTGTGTGTGCTCTTCTTTAAAAATTACTTTTGCCATTTTGAACACACTGTGATGTTGTCTGACCTAACATGTTCCGGTTTTCATTTATTAAATATTGGAAGCTATGATTCAACACACACACACACACACACACACCCCACCCCAATTGCTAATCATGTTTAACCTTCACATGCATGAGAAAAACAGAATGGAAGGGAGGGAGGGAGAAAGCTCAGACTTTTGAGGTTGGGTTTAGACATACAAATGCCTTCAGTTATGCAGTTATGAAGAGGCCCCAGAACATTCCTGAAATGTGTAAATCTTAGTTTAAAAAATACACAATGTTTACAACAATTGATCTTTTATAATCTGAAACCCTAAACTATAATTTAGTTATTTGATGCATGAAACTATTGATACATCTATTGATATCTGTCTGGAACCTGCTGCCAAGAGTTCAAACTTCTTCTTTTTTGGTACTATTAGTGTCGAAAAAAATATACTTTTCCTTAACCATGCAAATGTTTTGGGAAATATTGATAATGCAGAATAAATATGATAGTGTTGTGCTATATACATTGAAGTCTTTTAAAACATTTTTTCAACTATATGTAACACAATGCTAAGTATAAAAAGAAAGCAAGAAGACAAAAAGTCTTGTTGATGGGGAGGCATTGGAAATAATGCACTCTCCATGTACTGCCACTAGATGGTGGCATTATAAAATAAGACTATTGAATCTGTTTCACCAGCCCAAAGGCATTTTCCATTTGTTTTAATGTTATGGCTGCACAGCTCTTAATGTCAATTCTCAGAGTAGATTGTAAGCCTACCTAGTGTGAACTATTCCTAAAGGTGACATTAATTTCTAAAATATGAGATTCTGTCTAAGAATTTTGTCTTTGAATCTGAGATTCCTCCCCTAAAGTAGCACATACAGGAATACCATAGCTATGCTTCCATCACCTGATTATGAAAAACAAAACAAAAACAAAACAAAAAGTGTGTATAAAATGGATGCACATTAATTTATACAGTTGCCACTCTTTATCCATGGAATCATCATCCACTGATTTAACCATACACAATTTGACTTTTTTTAAAAATCCAAAAAGCAAACCTTATTTTTGCCAATTTATATAATGGAAACCATTTCAGTATACCTTTGTATATAATAGTATTTGAGTATCTATGGACTTTGGTATCCATGGGTGACCTGGAACCAAACCCTGTGGATACCAAGGCCCCACTGTATTTCCTTAGTATGAGGAAAAGAAGGTTGAGAGGTGAGGTAACTGCCACATTTAAACATCTAGAGGTCTGTTGGGCAGTCAGCTCATTTTCTGCTGCTCCAGAAGAAACAACAGATTCAAGAAACATGAGTCTTTCTCAATATGAGGAAGAACTTTCTGGCAGAAAGAACTGTTTGCCAACAGAACAGTCTTTACAAGTATATGTTGGACTCTAATCCTTTGGAGATAATCAGAGGTAAGATTTACACCTATCAAAGGGTTAGACTACATGGGTTTTGGGACACCTTCCAACTCCATGATTCTATAACTGGGGTGTACTTTTAGGAATAAGGACAAGAGTTTCAACAAAAATGCAAAATACTTCATCTATGACCAGATTATTTTAATACATTTCTTTCTTTATGTCTCTCTTCACCAGTGTCTTTATCTATCTATCTATCTATCTATCTATCTATCTATCTATCTATCTATCTATCTCCCCATCCATCCATCAATAGATGCATTCTTCACATGTGTGCCTCACAGCCTCCTCTGTATTGATGGGCAATTCAGAAATATTTATAAGGCCTTGACAGCAATTTGAAACAAAGGACTTATGTTGCCCTGAATGTCGATTGGTCCAGGTCATGGCCGCTTAGGATCTGAAGGCTGGTTGGCTGGGATGTGCTACCTGTCATTGTTACCAACTGGTCTCCAGATTTGGAGGGAAATTTAATAAACAGTCACTGGTATCTTTGAAGGCTTGTGTGTGATACAAGTGGAAAGGAATGTAGTGTGGCAAAAATAATGGGCTGAAATGGGTTTAATGTCTGTGTTTCAGTTAATACAATGAGTGCCAGCCAAGTTGTTCAGGGCATTGACATATATAATGGAGGCCTCACAGAAGAAGAAGGGTCTGACACAACACTATAGATGAGGAAACAACCCAGGATAAAATCAGATAATATTATGACAACACTAGTCTGTTCCTTATGTCTACCCTGTGACTTTTTAGGATATCGTAAAGGAATAATGCTAAATGTGTGGCTATCTCCTGAGGTTCAGAGTGTGGGGAAGTGTTAGGCAACATTCCAGGAAGAGGTTCATTGAAGGTTAGCTTAGAATTAAGAGAGAGGTCAATGCATGTTCACTGCCTGTCCCAGGGGAGCTGTAGACTCTGGGGTCCAATGTTTTTGGGGTCAAGTTTTCGATAACAGCAAGGCCACTAAGAGCTAATCCTAGCTCTACTGATGCTGGTTAATTCACTCTTTGCCTAAAAATGTTTTCCACCATCATATATTTTTCTTATTCTCATCAGGAAAACAGTGGCTTACATTATTGTTGTTTCATGCTTTCAAGTCATTGGTAATTCGAAGGTGAAGCTATCACAGGTTTTTCTCAGCAAGATCTATTCAAAATATGTTTGCCTTTGCCCTCCTCTGAGGCTGAGATGATGTGACTGGTCATAGCTTCAATTCCTGGTCCCCAGACATAACCCAATTCTCTTATCACTGCCCCATGGTGTTTCATGGTAGCCTAGCCCACTTGTACCTAGTATGTATGGATGAGCCATCCTGATCTTTGTCCCAGACAGCAAAATGTTTTGGACCAGTCCTATTAAGACAACCTGTTTTTCAATCATTCACATAGAGGACAGAAAGAAATCCCATCTAGCTGCCATCTGTAAATGGCTGTCTCAGCCGTGCTATTACTGCTATTCTTGAAAGAAGGATTGATTTCCCCACTGTTTTCTGAAATATTTAGTGTCGTACTTCTGTTTAACAGCAACCAGGTCAGATGATCATGTAAACATTGCCGCTCAGTTGGGCAACAGCCTGCAAAAGCAATGCAACAGTTCAAAACTGCTGCGGCTGGTGTTAACTGCCTCTGGGGAGGTGACGATCCCATTGAAAATAAGCTGGAGGATGTCAGCGTAACAGTGCCATTCATAGGCAGTCAGGTCTAAATCCCTTGCTGTTACTATGGCAAGTGACAAACCAGCTACCAGAGCTGATTAGCAGAGAATTTAATTAAACAGTCGGTACCCAGAGGATTTTCTAAATTCTTCGTCTCGGCATTTACCATTCGTCACTTCCCCATTCTCCTCCCCTTTAAACAGATATGCACAATTGTGTGTGTAGCCAAATAGAGATATCAGAGAGGGTGAGGCGAGTTAATTGTTCATTTATTGTCCAAAAGAATACCCACTGCCTCTAGTCTGTAAGCTGCCCCTAGGAATATAATATAAAAGCTTGCCAGATGCACAAACAGACTCAAATCCTTTCCTCTGCAATTAGGCAGCACGGATGCAGAGCTCTTTTCATCCCAGCCCCTGTTGTCACTGGCTTCCTTTCCATCTATTTCTGCCTCAGCAACATTATTTACTTTGTGGCATTCTCAGACATCATGGAAATGACTGCCAGAGGCTAGTTCTGTGGACAGAAGGGTTGTTCATCTCACCCCCTCTGCAAGCGATAAGCACGGGAGCCCATCAGGTCACTGTCAATATGGACATAATGTTTCCATGCAAAAATTCATGTGCCGCATTTGTTACATAAGTGAACATAACACATGTCAGTGTGGATCACTGCTAATCCTTCCAGAATGCAAATGTGAGAGGTAGTAAAAAGTCTCAAGTGGCAGGAAAGCAAGGACATTCCAAAAGCAAATTTATTTTAGGCTGGTTCAGTTACACAGGTTCTCCTACATACATGATTCCTTTAAGACTTTGATAAAGGTGCTAGCAGACTTGTGGCTTGATTAGAAGGAGACTCTGTTTAGTTCATACCTGTTGATAGTATACCTGGCACTGAGTCCTTGTGTGGAGGCAGTGCTTCTTCAATGAATCACTTGTGCTTACAGAGATGGTAGCTTCACTAGAAACAGTGTTTTGTAGTGGTTTGAGCACTCGTCTATGGTTCTGGAGACCAGGGTTCAAATCCCTGCCACGAAACCCACTGAGGATTGCAATGGCAATCCTCTTCTGAACAAATCTTGTCAAGTAAACCCCATGATAGGTTCACATGAGGGTCACCAATGACTTGAAGGTACGTAACAACAACAACCTTCACTAGAAATGGAATGGGCAAATCTTTTCTCACAATGGTTTTCCTTCTTTCTTTCTTTTTTAGTCCCAACTTCTCTCTCTCGAAGTTAATAGAATCATAGTTTCACAAAGCTGGAAATGTCCACAAGAGCCATCTTTTCCAACTTCTGGTCATGCAGGAACACATAATTAAAACGCTTGTGACAGATGGACACTCAAGCTCTTTTTAAAGACCTACAAAGAAGAAAAGTCCCATCTTTTGGGGCAGCTCTTACAATCAACAAGTTCTTCCTAATATTTATGATGATTTTTTCTTATAATTTTAATCCACTTGCTTGTGATTTTGTGTCTGAACCAGCAAAACAAACTGACTCCATCTTCCTACACCACAAGCATTTCAAGCATTTACATGC